CTCCCACGTTACGAATTGGACATATTTTTGTTTGCTCTCGCCCACTCATTAAACCGATCATTGGTTTCAGGAACGGCCAAAGTTTGGTTTACTGGTCACGATATTCCAACATTACATCTATGAACAAATACGGTGCAACTATATGTATCATCTGTCTTAACAACCAACAAATTTACACTTTGTTTATGTGGGCCTCTTTTGCGCGCAGGAAGTGCCTACCCTATAAGAGGCTTCCAGAACTCCCAACCATTATATATTCACCTTAAGATGGCAACTACACTGATTGCCAAAACGTTGGGTAATTTTCAACATTCGATGTGGCTCATCCTCGAAAGTCTCTGTTCATAATAATCATACGGTATGAGTTCAGTCCACAGCCTAATTTGGATTACAACTGCTTCTGATACAGAAAGGAGACATATTCGGTACATTTTATACGGTATGATTTACGTTTCTATGTGAGATGGTTACGTTTCAGAACTTTCATGACCCCATTTCAATCAGCAAACACAATTACTGAGTGAACATCTCTACAAAACCAATAGCCCAGCGCCGAGAAGCACGCAATTGTCTACGATCAATTAGCAAGCCCTCTTCTGATTTCGATACGTTAATTCCACATCATCACAACAGCTCGCAAACGAACATTATGTGAAGTCAGTATCCAGTCCACAGCTTCGCAGCCTGTTTGTCTACTATTCATGTAAATACTGATACGCTACGTCTCGCGTTGGAAATGGAACAACAAATTATACATAACAAAAAAAAAGTAAAAACTTTTCCCAGCAATTCATACTCGGGAACCAAATTAACTTTTACCCCAAAGAGCATAAACTCTGCTAGCTATGAGCCTCCTTTCACCTTGGGCTCCGTTACGGTTCAGCTCTTCTAACTGAACTCCATCGGGGCTCCAAGTAAAAAACGCGTATTTTCCGGCGTGAGCCAAAGAAGAGTGGGGACTGCCTCGCCGATGGGTGTCATCCAAAACCGGCATATAAAGAACATTTCGATTAAAAATAGTATGAAGTAAAACAGGTTCACCCCCATAAAGAAAATTTACCACGATTGACTCCATTGGGTCGCGTCTCACTTATATTGAAAAGAAACATGGTTCGAATCCAAACTGGAACCGGCAAATTCTGATTGAAGTCTTCACGGCTCTTTCTTAGTCCTGTCAGAGCAATGGCCGTTCAGCAGTGTCTGAGCATTTAATAAACAAACCGTATTTTGTAAATTGAAAATGAAAATATTTTTCTGTGTAACGAATTAACCAAATTTGATAAATCTTCTTGTACATGTATTCAGTTATGTTCTACACAACTTTGTGATTTTAATTCAAATCCGTCAACTTGTTTATTTGTGTCGTCTTAAATAACGTAATTTTTTTCGTCACCCTGTAAAAACCTGCCCTCTTTGTGCTGAGCCTGACATTTCATGGAACTTCGTAAAATTTATTTTAAGGCTACAAAATTGTCATCTGCAAGTAGACTATGATACTACTATGAACAAATTACTCACCACCCTTCAACATTTGATATGAGGTTTCACCCTTTAAAGTGAACACAATTTCACCCCTTACTTATCAATGTCAATATTAACATAGGTTCTGTGCATGAGAAAAGTTTGACGGGGGGTTAAATAAGAACTGCACACGCACAACACGCTCCTCCCAACCTAAATGCTAGGGGTGGCTCTGCTTTTCATTCAAGGGTCCACCGACGTAAAACCAGAGATTATGACTCGTAACCTAATTAATAATATACTGTAGTAAGTTTAATTATTCGTGTTTTTTCCGTATAATCACAATTGTATATAAATAAAATTTATACATAAGATATTAAAATATCATTTACATATTTGGTACATCTTTTTACTATATGTTTCGGTTACATTGAACCATCTTCAGGTGTAAAGTTAAAAGTTAAAAATTATAATCTTATAAACTAAAACTTAATTACTGTTGTTGTGTAACTTCTGATGATGTTTACTTCCAAATTCATTGGAGTGAGGGTATATTTTGAAGTGATAGTGGTTCAACATTGGCCTGTAACGTAAATAATTTAAAATATTTTTTAAATGTTACTGAACTTGAAAAAACGAGTATAGAAGACAAAATGTAATAAGGTAAAAATTATATCAACTTATGTAGTAAGTTTTACCACTCGGAGGTAAACGTTCGAAGTTGCCTGAAAATACGTCGACAGACACGTCCAAGAGAAAAAATAAGGCCTGGAATATATAATGAATTCTATTTTGGTACGCACCGTCTTCATACTTTCGACGAGTTGTGCAGTTCCGGACATTGTTAATTTTCGTCAAAACACCCAGATCACCAGGCCACTAAATTTTTTTAGGTACTGATTTCCAATTCTTGGTAGCCTCTTCACATAAATTAAAACATACGAAAGTAGACAGTCATCGTAAGCTCTTCTCAGAACTTCTTTTATTGCTTATATATTTACTTGTACATTATTATTTTACTCATGTTTCGTTTAACGACGCAGCCAATAGTTCATCGTCGAACAATAGAATAACAATAAACGAGAAATTGTAAGGAAGGGATTACGGCTTAATTCAGGTTTCTGTACAGCGTTTGTCCAGAGGGACTGAGGAAACCCACAACAACCCGACTCCGGGCCGAGATTTTAACCCGCGACCTCACAGGTTTGAAGCATGTTCGGCTTTGCAACTGCTTAAGTAACGTCACTAGCATTAATCAGAATAATATGGACTATCACTTTTAAACATGAATGTCTAGAATTCGCTTTGACGTAAAATATTGTGATGCGAGGCTGCACCAGCTTTTATATCAAAGGATATCACTCACTGAAAGCTCGCATTCTATGATCGGTTTGATCTTCATTCTGTCTAAACACGGAATTATTTTCAGCTCCTGAAAAGAGAGTTTTTTTATTGCATGCTAGTTCTGTGTGACGACAATGCAGAGGACGGCCCATTGCTGCCACAGTCAACTCGAATGGCCTGAGTTACAGACCCTATTCATACATTACGACGAAAAATTACTTTGATGAGAATTGTTTTGTTTCCATCTTGTGACTTAAGGTAGCTGTTACATTCGCATGAAAAAACCGCGAAAAATCTCAGGATTGCGGTCTTTGTACATCTTCAAACCCTGGACTTACGAAACATCAAGAATAACTGGTGGTTCATGTGCCACAGCTTGATAACCATAGGCGAGTAAACTGCAGAGAGAACTGTAGCCACGAATGAATATTAAGCCATCAAATTCATGTGGAAGCTTTGCTGTAGCACTGCCTGCATTGAGAGAAATCTGAATCCTCGACATCCAAACTCTGCAGGAAGAATGGTGGCTAAAACATTGTCCTGTGTGGCAATTAAAATGCGTAATACTAATTTATCGATTACCCAGATAACACGATCTGCATGCTGCGAGTGAGTAATATGGAGTAAGCATTACTTAATAGCAGGAAATGCGTAACCACGCAAAGCTAATGACTCATAAGGTAATAGTCAGTTAGTTCTCAGTCGACAACTGACACCTGTCAAAATGATCCCCTGGGAGTCAATAGAACATTCTGCGAGGTGAATAACTCTCCCATGACGTCATCCTCACAACTATCGACCGCTGTGGCTGCAGAAAGTTCGTATGGTGGAAAAGACATAAGACATTGAAAAAGCGTTCCTTCGGGAAGTAGGCCACACGTTCTTTTGCAAAATACTAAGGCAACACGTGTTTACGAATCGCTCCACTCCAGTTTACCGTACATCTTTATAACACGACATGACTGTCCAGTCCATACAACTCAGAAACAACTGTAGCCGAAACGCCAGCAATTAACTAACTAACTAACTAGATGGCTTGCCGAACCCCGAAGGTTCATCACCGAATTAACCAAAGCCCCCCACCGGACCCTGTCCTGGGCCAACAAAATCCAGTCTCCTTCAACTCCTATCTCCCATAAATCCCCCCTGACTTTAACCTCCCATCTACGTCTAGGTCTCCCCAGCGGTCTCTTCCCCTCAGGTTTCCCGACCAATACCCGGTGCACAATCTTGTCCCATCCATGCGCGCTACATGACCCGCCGATCTCATTCTTCTCGACTTAATCACCCTGAAGCAACAGGTGCTTTAAAGGCCAATTGCTTCAACATACAACTGAGGTATGACGACATTTTTAGCAGGCTTCAAGCTTGTTTATAGTAGTGTAAACGGAGATACCCGTCTAATAGAAACTCTATTTTCCACATGGTATACCATTTAAAACGCAAGCCAACAACAACAGTGTCCTTCGGTTTAAAAAATCAGAAACAGGTCTCAACCTTCCCCGTGACATTCGAGTCAAGGTCACCCTGGTTGCCAGGCCGCTGCTTACGCCAGTTGCGCAAAAGGTGCGTCAATGCAAGCATAATGTATCCACGAGAAAAACGGGTTCATTCTCGAACGTCACTTCGCATCAAAATCATATGCCGCTGTTCATGAAGCAGTTGGCAATGCACGACAAGGAAGTGCAGAATAAAAAAAAACAATTCACCGACTAGTAACAAAATTTTGGGATACAGGAAGTGTCTATGACAAAATGTAAATTTGGTTTTATATTATATGATATAAAGTGACCGACTGCAGCCAGACAACACAAAGTTTGTTATGAGGGAAGTTATAAACATGTCTAAATGTTTCAGAAATCATCTGTAGTACCAAAAAATTGCAACATGATAACAGTGTGATCCTTGTATGTTATTTTTTAAAGTTAGGTTGGATATTTATGGTCATATCTCACCCTTATGAACTTATTAAATTGTCTGGTATTCTCTCTGAACTGAATTTTGTTGCTTACAGGCAGACCAGGCAATGGAAGTGATTCCAGTACTGAACTTGCTTATATTTACTGGGATATATCTCATCATTAGTTCTAACAGTGAGTAAAATGGCAGAGGAAGAAGATGGCTATCTTCTGGGTTCTAGCCCATCAGGCCTTGATGATGGAAGCATTGTAAACTTCTACCAGACTACACAGTGCTACAACCTAGTAGACAGCCATCGTCAGACTCACCATGGTGAAAACAAAAAATCCTAAAATTCCATAGCCTTCCATATGTGGTTGAAAGGTGCATCTTCATGAAATGTAATCATACTACAGGACAAAATGATAATAGATTAACTTCAGATACTGGAAGAACAGGCAGAAGTAATGAACCTACTTTGCTTTATATGATTTAATCTTGAGATGATAAAGTTGCGTCATATTGTGATAAATATATATTTTTGTTTAAATCTTCTCAGTCTAATCACAATAAAATTCCTATTAAATATTAAAATATTACTATAATTAACATTTAAATATTTAAAATATATTAAATGATGTTCTCTATCGAAAAGTTCGATTTACATTAGATCATCACTTTTTACACGACATGTTTCAACACTAAAAGAACTATCTTGACTGACAAGATTTAAACAAATATGATTTAATCTGTTGGCAGATATTACAATTTAATAACTGCATAACTTCATACTCTGTTCTTGATCATTTCACCAATACAGAGTCCCAATACCTGAAAATGACCAGACAGATGTACCTCAAAGCTGTGCAGTACTGTCATTTACAATTTTGTTATTTATTAAATTAAGAGCCAAATATGCTTCAGATGTTTATTTTGTCATTCAGTTCAGAATGTATGTTCTTGTCTCCTTTAAAAAAATTTAAAAAAAATAAAATGAAATAAGATTAAAATACATTTACTACAATCTCTGGACCGTAGGTGAGCTATCATAGGAATGAGATCAGTGGTGAATATAGCAGTCTTCTGGAATGTTGCACCAAGTAGTCTGGTGGATATGGACCAACATTTCAGAGGACCTTATCACCTCCCACAAGACAGCCATCTTCATACACGTCACTGTGAGAATTTGAAATGTCATCGAGACTAGTGGTGTCTGAAAACAATGTTCTGAGGTGAATATTTAAATACAGGATGAAATTAGAAGGGGAATGGGAAACATACATGATGAGTTGCATAATTTTCCTCCCCAGAATGTCCAGATGAAACAAAATGAGAGAGAATTATCCTAATATTTCAGTGCATGGAAAAATTAATCAGTGCTTCAAGTAGTTCATACAAAAAATGTGTTCAGTATGTAATAAAAGCACATGTTCTAGTAATGGTACTACCATTTTCAATTATCTTGATCCCAGCTACTTTAATGACCTGAGGTTTAATTTTATAATAAAAGTTAAATGAGTCACCATTTGGTATGGGGTATCCTAATATTGCAGATGGACAATACATGTCCAGGTATGGATTGCAGCTGTGAATAAGGAATAAAGAAGAATCACAGACTGCCAATCAGTAGGTGGTACTCCACCTCAGAGGTTGCGCATGATGCTATCAATCCCCACCATAAAAATCTAGGTTGTTATGAAATGCTGTGCAATGCTTTGGACTTGACAGGGTTAAATAGAGGGCTTATGTAAACAGGGTAATTTGATTCCATAAAAATTGAATATTTCTTCACTAGTTATATAAATACGTATTAACTGCTCAAGGAAGATTTGGTTAGGTGGATGACTGATTTATTTGTTAGTTGCATAATTTAGTTCTGTTCTGTTCTGCTCTTTTGTTACTGGACATGCCTGATTCTGTTGCAGTGGCTGAGGCTGTAGAGTGCTACATATGCAGTTGGAACCCATCAGATTACAAGAACGGCAACAAGGACGATAACCATGACTATGGTGATGTCTGCTCTGTGGGCCACTTCGACCCACAAAGAGTTCGGACACATAAGTGTAGCAGAGGTTGTGAGATAGTCAGCATGAAGGACCCCAATGGCAAGTTCAAATGCATTGCTTAAGACCTCATGAGATTGAAATCTTATTAATTAACATAAAATTACTCTCAAGAAAATTATGGAACACAATTTACAGAACACAATTTCAGTTATCTTGGCACATAAAAAGCCCTGACTGAAGATAGAGTTCCAGCCCCATAAATTCAGATCTAGAGAGCAGTGAATTGATTTAAAATTCAATGACTGCTAAAATAAATGTTTATAGTTTTCAAATAAAAATGACTTCCAAATAAATTATGTGGTGTCAAAGTTCCATTAAATTGTATGGCTAAAACAACAAACTGAGCTTGATACAGGCAAGGAATTGTAAACAGTAGCTAGGTTTAATATGCAACAAGAGAAGAAACAGATGCTAGTAATCATTCATCTGATGACTTTGATGGTAAGTCAGTTTTATGTGATACCTTTTAACTTTTCAAAAATTCAGTAGAAGCAGAGAATTCCAATTTGAATTAAAACATTTCCAAATTCAAGGACCATAAAATAATGCATAAAAGCCTGACTAAATGCTGGACATACATAACAGTCATAAATGCAATTTGAAAATTTAATTCTACCATTTTTCTTGTGCTGCAGGGGTTCTAGAAATGTACTACAGAAATTGTGTCACCAACAAGGAGATCACCTACGCTTATATTAAGAAGAAGTCAAAAATAAATGATGAAGAAGTCTACACATGTGACTTTGATTTGTGCAATACAGCTAATACAGGGAGATGCTTACACCTATTTTTGTTAGTAGTTTCAATGTTGGTATTGCCAGTTCACTGGTTGTTCATGTAAAATACTATCCTCAATGCAAAGTATGAGAGTACAAATCCCAAGTCCCTACTTTTCAATGTACTGTACAAAAGCTGGTAATCAGGGGTCAAATTAAGAAATAGGTTATGTTTGTGCAGGCTTATGAAGCCACTGTCTATTTTTGACTTTTTGATTTGTTAAGCTATTTTGTCGCACTCATCACTGACATTCTATCTATGGCCTTCTTCAGCACTACCATTCCATAGCATAACAAAAACATGAATGTTGCTTTTTACCTTCCAAAAGACCATAAAGAATGTTCTTCAGCTGGTACTATGAAGATCAAATTGAATTAAAAACTGTGAAGAGAAAGAACCACATAAGAGGGAATGGTTTTATAGAAGTAAATGTTAGAACTGCCTAGCTTTTCAAGGTGAAAAATGTATTTCTCACTTCAGAATGAACCTGAAAGATTTCCTGTAATAAGAAAGTTAGGAAATGTTATACTAATTAAATATTAGCTGTGTAAATAAATACTTCATTTAGGGTGGCAGTGTTACTGCCAAAAAGACTAGTGATGTGTATGTGAAGTACTGAGTACAGATATAAGAAGCTGTAAGTTTCTCAGCAAAGAGGAAGGATGAGAGAAGAATCAGAGTACTTAATAAGAATAAGGACAAGTGAAAACAACACTAAACATATCACATATTTCCAGCAAACCCTTCACTGAGAAACTGACATGACATGAGTATTTCTTGCTGCAGTCATTCACTGCCAATTTCTCTGATTAAATTATGCAGCAAGTTCTATTCCTGTCCTTATTCTGTTAAGTGCTTTAAAGTCATAATTTTTAAATCTGTCTTGTTCTTATTTTTCACTAGATGCAATCATTTCTAATCAAAACAAAAATTACAGACTTTTCAAAGTAGTGCAATGCCCCCAAAACAAAAAGATCTAACAATCAAACACCCAGAACCACAAATAACAAAATTAAATACATGATATGCTGACCAGATGATGTATGGATTCAAATTGACTTCGTATCTTAACTACATTTCATGCATGAAAATAAAAGTATAATTAGATGCATTTTCATCCTCTGTTTTCAATTCACGTGGCCAGGAACCACCTCAAAATTTTTTCTCTGGGTGACCAGTAATATTTAAATTTCACATATTTTGAGCAAACAATATTACTGATAAAAATAGCTGCTACAGTGAAAATTTTAAACATCATGACAAATTGGTGCTAGGGGTTTGTTGAGGCCTGGTTTTATTCACATGACAATGTTTTGGCCAGAAGTTTGACTATAAGATCATCCTCATGTCTGAATCACCTTCCGTATGAGGAAGGAGATGTGGTTTCACTCCTACATCCTATCTGTCTTCCATTCCTAGACACTGTGGCCACTCATGCATATTAGTATAGTATAACATATTAAATTCTGTTTTAGTTATATGTCAGACTAAAGAGGCTTGCGTTTCTGAAAAGGGTAGGAGTTGCTAATATAAATTCATTACTATATAATGACAAGATGAAGATGTTACCAACAATGGTAATGATCATTAGTCTGAATTTTTACAATCAATAATTAAAATCAATATTAATAACAAAATACCAAAATACACTTCTAATTAATTTAATATTGCATGGCCTTAAGCAGTTCACTAAATCATGTGCAGTCTATATATGAATATATGAAATAATGTGTTTTCAAAGACCAGTACCTGAAAAGGTAAATAATATATATGTAAAATTGATGAATTAGGACTGAATGCTTTATATAGAAAACTTCTAAATATATATTTGCACAACTGTTGCAACACTTACAGTTTTATCAAAAGTTTACTGTCCTTTTTCACACTGTTTTATTTGTACTATTATATTTTTTATACTTTCTTACGTAACTTTACTCAGTGATGGATGTAATATTAACCATGATTCATGGTGAATGTTTCACCTAACAAACTGAAAGTTTTTAAGGGAACAACTGATGGTTATTCAGCTGATCAGGAAATTACCTGTTACCAACAAACACTGACCTGAGCCACCCCAATTCAGTTATTCACAAACAGTCTCTACGATTCACTTCATTGTTATAACCTCATCTACACCTAGGTATCAAAACAGGCTTCATTCAGTGGTGTTTCCAACCATCATTCTGCTGCATGGATATGTATATTAGGAATTCTTATATAAAACAAAAAATAAAATTAATATATGTGAAGGTCATATCCATCTATCTATCCAACCATAACCTAGCCGAAGTGGTACTCTCACTGAACATATGTAGAAAAGTCATGTCAATGGTACACAAACCACAGTTATTACTCTTAAATTCCTAATAACAATATCAACGAGGCAATCATTACAATCTTCAAATGGGACCAACTCTAGCACCATTCAATGTAGAAAAGTAGGGTTGTTGCCTCGTAAAGGCAACTGAGAAATGTTATAAACTCTAGAGAATATAATGCCTGTATAGGTACAATAAGCAATCACCTTCCCCCTCATGATCTAATTCACCTGTCACACACTCATAAACAAATAAAACTTGTTTCAAATTCTGGGAGGATAGAATTATCATATTAAACTTCATGTTATCAATTTTCACATTTGAAACTACAGATCTTAAGTAATGCTAACAATTCAATGTCATTAAATGGCTATTAAGGGCTCTTGGAGTCCACAGTGTATGCTTTAGGCATTACTACATAGCGCTTACAGTTTTAGAAATTACATGATGGTATTCTTGCTCTGATGTCCGCTATTTTAGAAAGAAGTAAATACAGTTTAGATTAGCAGTAATGAATTTGATGCTATCAATCTTATGTTCTGCATATATTAGTGTTAAAATTACTCTCTATTATCACGGATTAAAAATGAAATGAAGAAAATACACACAACTAAACCATCAGCATTGTAAAATGCACATAAATTAAATTGAAATGAAGTCATATTTTACATGCCAGGCTTCTATCTTGAAAAACTGGAAGAGGTCTCTCTTATATGTAATTTGTACATGGCCAATGAATTGAAAAGTGTTATGGATGTAGAACAGTTATCTTCCACAGTCTCCATTACATCATGTGACAGTTTTGCAGAATACATCTCTAGGTATTTTAACAAAGAAAATTATGTTAAAATGACTCAATAATCTAATAACAATGGATGCTGATTATGCCTAGTATTATTTATGACCTTGTTTATTAAATTCAGATCTGTACTTCACATGTCAATCATTCTGTGGGTTACTATTCACAATGGATCTAAGTTATCACTATCATTCTATCCATTCAAATGAAACATTTCACAAGTTCCCAACAATATAATTTTTGAAGCATGTATCTTCCTCTGTAACTCTCTCTTGATGTCAACAAGATCAGAAAGGTTTACTCTCTAGAGTACACTGAAATTCCAGTGGTGTTCTTCATGTCACATCAAGAAGGTCACTGTAGCACTAATGTGCAATGTGATCCCAGGCCATTGGTGCATGACACAGTCATCCAACAATTACCTTAGGCCACTGATTACTGTGATCCAAGGTCCCATTGTTCTACAACAGTTTGAACACCCGGACCCCACTGTTGCAAGAAATGAGGCATAAGGTGTTTGTGCTGAGAGCATGAAGAACACCTAAAACGTTATGTACAAAATTTTATTTTCCTACAGTATAATAATAGTATCCAGAATCTAGTTTTAGATGAATCTGTTCATAATATAATGCCGATTAAGATGAACAGCCATTCTAAATGCAAACAAACTATTTATCCTATGATTTTATACATGACTTGTCACTCTTTTTTTAAGAGGTTGAATGTTCTACTGTTACCTATATTTATACATATATAACCAAATTTTAATTTAAACAACATTTTCATTGCCCACATGCATATAGTATTGCATTAATTTCCTAATAATAGACTTTAAAATGTTCGTATTCTAAGAACTCAGCTGAGAAAATTTAGAATATGAAGTGAACTATAAATATCTATGTAAAATTCCTAATTTGTTATTTATCTGACATAGCTAATTGCAATTTTAAATTTCCTTCAGTCGGAATATGTATAGCGCTCTGTTTTATACAATTAGGATTTAAAAAATCATTCCAGTGTATTATTAAGTGTTCTATTTCTTTCCTATCTGTATTTATTGCAAAGTATGTTTAACTTGTTTGATGAAACTGTATTTTAATAACTTCATAGAAACAATGTATTAAAATAACCTTCCAAATATTTATGTTAATGTCAACCTGGACTCCCAAATGGTCTCTGTAACGCATTCAAACTAACCTTTGTAAGTATCTTTAATTTTTAAGTATGTACTATGTACTCCACCCACCTTAACATATTTGATTTCACAAAAGTATGACTTTAATTGTGGTTTATTTAATAACTGTTAGCAGCTCTAACTGATGTAAGCAAATTATCAAGCTTTCTTTCACGGCATATTCTCCATTCGCTCCTTAGTTCAGAGTGGCATGTAAAATTAGTTTTATAAACTCATATCTTTGTTTTTCTTACTACAAGTAACATGAACTAAAAGGTAAAAGTAGCAAACTTGCATTTCTTGAGATTCTCTTGCTTTTAATTGCACCAAGATTGTAACGTTTATTTTAACTGCAAAGCATTTGGAACTTCCTACTGTTTAAAATTATTGATCTGCAATTTTAAATTTTGGTCTTGCCAATACCAGTTACAAAAGACTAGAACAGGCTGTCAGGTAATGTTAAAATATATTCTTGACTGTGACACTGTAGTCTTCCCCCACACAGTCCAGCAACCCAGAGGAAGAAAATATGAATGTTAGAATACTTACCATAAAAGTGAGAAACACATTCTGCTGAACTTGGTTCTTCATTCACAGAACAAGTCACAAGAAAGATTCTGCATTCACAAAACAAGTCACAATAAAGATGATGATAATAACTCTGGGATGTTGCGCCGTGTAGATATTTATCCTTATCAGCGCAATGAGTCATTGCCCTGGTGATGAAGGCAGCAAGCACCTCTGAAACGTCGGTAAACGTCTGCCAGACCACATGGTAACATCCAGAAGGACGTCTTCATATTTGCCGCCATAAGAGCGCGAACTCTCACCAAGCCATAAGAAAGTTCTTTTACCCTATTACTATTCTTTAACGCGTTTAAAAGAAACAAATACTGTTCGAAACTGACACATAACTGTTTGCCAAGGTTACGCATGACACTTGCCATTTTGACGAAATTTACAAATACAAAGAAGTAAACTAAGTAAAAATTCAGGCACAGGTAAGAAGACAACGTGCACAATGGTGTCCATGTTATAAATTATCTTGTTAAAACGGTACAAACACTGAGAGCAACAACTGAACTTCATAGCGCCGCGCGGAAAACGTAGAGGCATACAGTCCACAACGTCAGAGTAAATATTCATGTATCAACATTTAATCAGCGCTTGTATCACAGTTTCGATTATCGCTTGTGACGAAATTGACTATAATTATATGAGCACACTCAGAGTTAGAAACTAAGGCAAAGAAAACATATTAAGGAAATTCAAATAAAGTCTAATATTGACAACTACTGACGTAAGATTCAATAATTCCTAATCATTCCCAATCTATTATAATAATTTCATATTATTCTGTATATATTATCACAATCAAAAATACAACTAATAATCTTTGTCCTTTCACCCCCTTTTTATATTAATTGTAGACCATCTTCAGCAGTTACACTATTTGCATAAATAAGATATTGACGTTTTTCATCTTTCTTATACCCTAAACTATCACATTATAAATTACTGGCATTTTGACTTTTCTCATAGTAACTATTCAATACCTAAACGTTTCTGCATTTTGTAATGTCCATCTTGTTGCCTCAAATGTTGCATGCTCCCTACTATGGAGGCATAGTGGGGGAGTTGAGTTTGAGCTCAATACCTTCTAGGCCTCAGCATTAGATGGAGATGAGTGATCATTTTAACATTCCTATACTTTGCTCCTACGGAATGTGACTGTTACACCCAGAACACCACAAGTGAACTCTCACTCATATCTCACAAAACTGTTGAAATTTTAAATAAATGGCACCAAGAGATTTCAGGATTTCATGACTGAAAAACTGGTAATCAACAGTTTGGGGGAACGTATCTTCATCCTCAGGACACAACTTCTACCCTGAATATAAGGTCAGTTCAATATGCCTTGTACGTGGCAATCATTTTGGGAATATGTTCCTCCGAAACACTGATTACCAAGAATACTGTATCAACCCAGACCATAACCAACCACAGATGTCAATAAATGTGTATTTCTTATTGGGACCAGTTTCAAGATCTTTTTATGTTAAATGATGATGTAACTAGGAACATTCCACAAAGATTTATTTTATGACACACTTTCACTTGGAGGCATTAAAAGACAAATCAAGCAGTTGTGACAATAGAACTGCTGATGTTTAGCAATCACATTTGGGATCAAACTAGAAATAACTTGTTTATATAGTTTTAAATTGTTTATTCTTTTTAGTCGTATCAATACAGCCCTCAACAAATAAGAGAAATGCATCAAATATGACATGTAAGAATAATTTTTAATTGAAAAGGTGAAACGATATTTTAGCAACTTACTATTTTGCTTGCCTTTGCATTCTGGACTTCCCAAATCCATACACTGGATTCATACACCTCAGCAGACTTCCTTGTATGAACCGTCAGCACTGGTGTTTCATTTCTTCTTGGTGAGACATCAGGTTCTCACAGAAGTGAATCTAACAGATTATATCTATGGTACAACATCCCAGAAGACAGTCATCATCTCAGTTTCTTCTCACTACAGTGGGAATCAGCCTGAGGTTCATGTTATGTGTGCATGGATTTGGTTTTTACCTCAGTGCCTTTCTAAGTACTTTATGACTAAAACGGCCAAAATATGCCCCAGAAATCCTGGGCCCAGTTTTGGAGCAATGAAGATATTACTTTTTATTGTGGATAAATTCTGCAAAATAAGACAATTTTTGTTCTAGTGCAAAGCACAATAAAACTTGAACAATTAATGACTACTAAAGTTAGACTAAACTTACTACTGACAGCAACAAAAAATAATTTTATTTGATTGTGTAGGTTCTAATAAGTGATGAAAATATGCATCAACTCGCATGGAACATGAACATTTGTTTACCAATGCCAATGACACTTGAGCTTGTCATAAGTCATTTAGGCAGCAAATCACATTTTGGCAAAAATTCAGTTTGCAGAGAAAGTATTACCCACTTTAACCCAAGTGCTGCACACCCATTTCCATACCATCAGTTGTATGGACTACTATAGCAGCATTTTACACACAAGCTTTCGTATCACATCATATTCAGCTAAAGCTGATCAGACTAATAAAATAACATAATCTGAATCTGCAGGAGACATAAATTTTTAATAGCACAGTATCACTTGTCTCACTGTAAGGGTAAATTTTGTATTTGAAAACAGGTTTGTCAATTGGCAATGGTAACATGGTAATGTGAACAGTGACAATGATTGTATATACAATAATATAGTTATAGTAAAAAAAATGTCTACAACCATTTTCAATCAGATCTGCAATCATAAGACATAAATAAGATGCCACTAAAAATTCAGTAATAAGAAAAAGCAGCAAAAATGTACTCGGCACAGGGCATTAGAGAACCTTGGAAAAATGCAACAAATAAAGAGTTACATTTTACTAAAAAATTTGTCCTTTTGATGAATTATACTCCTGTGTTCAATAGATAATGTGACTGAAAAATGTTGTGCATTGTGACTAATAACAGTCATAAATTTAAAAATGAAATTATATAAATTTCTTCTAAACATACAAAATGTAATTTTGATAATTTTAATAATGAATTAACATACTGAAATGAGAATAAATACCAATTCCAGCATCACTGAATATCTTGTTAAACCAACTGCTTATGGCTTCCTTGCAGTTATTTTGCAATTTAACAAAACAGGACATTCAATTAATACAGAGTGATTCAAAAAGGACTTTACAACTTTGAAAGTGTATAGAAATTTATTCAGAAGGCTTACAGAATCGGTTGAGGTGTTATTTTGTAGCAAAACAAATCACATTTTACCTCAAACAGTCATTTTGGTTCGATGTGATTGCCATTGGTGATACTGCAGACATCCCACCTGAAATCAATTTCTTGCCAAACACCATCCAGCATATCCAGTGTCACTTCTGCAACTGCGGCGGTGATTCGAGCTTTGAGCTCAGTGAGATTGGCAGGTAAGGGTGGAAGATACACACGATCTTTAATGAAACCCCATAAGAAAAAATCGAGAGGTGTCAAATCTGGAGAACGAGGTGGCCATGCTATCGACCCTGTTCGACCAATCCACCGACCTGGGAAACGGATATTGGGGAAATCCCGGACTTCTGTGATGTAGCGAGGTGGTGCGCCGTCTTGCTGGAAGTGAATGCGTCCTTTTTGGTCTTCTTCGTCTAACCGTGGTATGAGAAAATTTTCGAGCCATTTTTAAATGCACTGCCGCTTGCGCTCGCGGTGACGGAATTCGGTACTACAGCACAATGTGAGTCAAACTTGATTTATTTTGCTACAAAATGACACCTCAACCGATTCTGTAAGCCTTCTGAATAAATTTCTATACACTTTCAAAGTTGTAAAGTCCTTTTTGAATCACCTGGTACAATGAAAATTTAAAAAATGGCCACTTTGTATGTCACAAAAATTTCTATACAATGCACACAGATAAACAGGAGTACATAATGTTTTGGTTGTTTAATGAGCTTTGAGACGTGTCACAGCTCATCCATGGTAACAAAAGATTCATACCTTGGATGGCATTAACTGCAAGGAAAGGATAGAGAAAACAAAACTCACACATCAAGAAATAAAGGAAACAGGTTATGATAATTTTGCTGCCAAATCCCTCACACCAACAATTATTCTGTACATACCATAGTCACATCATTCTTTGGTTCTTGTGTTCATCATACATCAGTAAGAAAAGCCAGTACTAGAAACTTAGAAGAAATCTGATCAGACTGAACAAACAAAATATTATACTTTTTTAAACAATAAGTACCAAAATTAATGAACTGTATTCAATTTTACTTCAGAATCTGCAAATCAATTTCATTTCAAACACCACATGACCTTGTTATTCCAGCATTACATTCTCTTGCTAATATCACACCGAGATGCACTTTACCAGTGTCACCAATGAGCAGTGGATCACACTTACTACTCTTACTGTGGGAGTGCTACTGCCTGTTGGCATCATCTGCAGATTCATCCCGTGTCTCTTGGAAGTTCAGCCATGACTGCTCCACAATTGTTGCTACACGTTTTTCATATTCTCTTTTATTTTCTTGATATAACTGTGCTGCCAGTGAGTTAGCTGGGGAGTTTGGATTCGGTTCATCCAGCAGAGACTGGTACAAAGATTCTTTGTTAATAATGCAAAATTAGCATCAAAGCAGATTAATGAATCTTACATGTGCTTTCATTTTCAACACCTTATGATCAGCCTAGAAAAAACTGTACATACAAAAAACCTATAATTTTAATACTTCTGTGACAACAATGCAACCACCCCCAACATCACTTCTCCATATAAAAGACCGTCACTTTAAATATGCCACTTTAAAGAAGTGATTGAAAGTGTAAGAGTTTATTTTGTTATAATCTTTCTGCAGATAGTTTTATTAGAAAATTTCTTACTACTAAACTACTAGCCTCCTCTAACAAAAATCCAACTGCTTACCACATCCCTGTACACCCCCCCCCCTTTCAGACACACCACACACACAGTTTCTTCATTCTATGAGTGGTAATCATACTAAATATGTCCTAGACCATTCTGTGCAAATTACAACTTTTTTGTATTCTCGGTGAGAAATATTGAAAGCTGAGGATCATAAAACGTGGCTGTAACATTTTATCATGTTGACTTCACACATAATAGATTTGGGCATGGAAATGACTTACAAAGTAACACATTAAGGTTTAAAATGCACTTTTCATGGAAGAAATAGCCAGTAAGTTTCCAACAAATTATAATCAGTTAGAATTTATTCTGAGGTTTGATAAATAAATACAATATGCAGCAACAAAATTTTTATGACAGAAGAGTATGATGTATCCTTTTCCATCATAAAAATTAAAATCAGCTCATAGATGAATGACACAAACTGTTTACACAAAATCTCCTTAAAGCTTTCAAGCCTTTTTTGACAACTGAAGTAAGTTCGTTTCTTCTTATAATAATCCGTACCTTGAAATGACAATGTTTCCCGTGTGACACTTCTCCCAGTATGAAAACTTACTGTCCAAAGTTAAATTCTTATAACAGAAAAATGTGTTGTATTCAGTGATGAGTAGTTCTTTAAAAGAACGTTATGCTTCCTTGTGTTTTCCTCATGTATACTGATCTATACATATATATATATATATATATGTGTGTGTGTGTGTGAGAGAGAGAGAGAGATGAAGTGCTGTAATGCATACATTCACTTATTGACCATAACGAAATTACAATCTGTAAAAATAGCTGAATAGCTTAAAATTAATCTGTGAAAAACTCAGCATAAAACTTATTGTAATGCGCACAAGAACCATTCAGGAGTATTCTTCCAGTTGTCTATTCTGCTTACTTTCATGCACACAGGAACGTGTGCTATTTTTGTTCAACGCAAATATCGAAATAAAGCATTGCAAAGCACACACAGGCACATGGTCAATTTCTAATGTATGCGTTCTTGGAAGGAAAAGTCACAAATATTACTCAACACTACATAAACTGCATTATGCATTATGTAGTATATTTGATAATATATTCTAATGACAATTCTGTGTCCTGTATTTACATCAGCCTCTCTATGACAACACAGGTTTGTTGTAGCCACATTCATGCACACAGACACATGCTTAAAGGTAGCTTCTATGCTATTATACTACCTCTGCAAATCTTAAAGCCACATCTCCCTAAGCTAACTGGCTTCGTTTTATACCCATTGTGGTACAAAATTATACTCAGTGCTCATCAGTGTCAGTAAAGATATCAACATCAACTCTACAAGTTGTTTCATATGTTTTGTGGCACAGCAGTGACACAAAAGATAAACATTAATAAAACAGCCACAGTATTTATTTGTTTGTTAGTTGATGTTCTTGATTTTGAATTGTTTTCATGTGCACTGGACAACAAATCACTAGTCTACAAAGCTCTGCTCCACGCAGGCTTTCACTCTCTTCTCATACTCTCTTCGATTTTCCTTGTAAAGCTGAGCTGCCATGGAATTTGCTGGGGAGTTGGGGTTTGGATCACTTAAAAGTGACTGAAAGGGAAAACATATCGTTAGTTGACTTTGAAGTCAAAATTAAATGAAAATTAATAGAAACTTGCTTCTACTTAACTTCAGTAATAGCACAAATGAACACATTAAACAGGTCATCATCTATGAGCCAACTTTTACATACCATCATATGAACATTACATGATGCAGGGTAGGGATAGAAACCAATAATCTGCAAAACAGCAATGTGTTCTACAAACCTGACAAAATGCTGAGTTCGTACTAACAGAGAAACAAAACATTTAATTTTGTTCAAGTAAGTGATAACAATACATGACACCAAAATATCCTTTATGCATATGTTTAGTGATAATTTTAAGCTTGTTATTCCAAAACAATATAAAAATGCAATCTCAGACGTACCTGTATAGAAGTCAAAATAGCTGAAACATCATATGTAGGACTCCACCTATTTTGCAGAATATCTAAACATATTCCCCCATCCGCGTATACATTGGGATGGAACATTTTTGAAACAAATCTCACTGTCGGAGGTTTGTTAGGATATTCTTCTGTAAACTCTATTGTTAACTTAAAGGTGCCATCTTCAAATGGTGTGTCATGAGGTCTGAAATGAAAATTATTAACTCACATTACAGTAGCTTATGGGGGTGGACAAATTTCATAAGCAGTTATTTATTCTTTGTATATTTAATGGCACCATTACAGATATGTATTTGTACATGACTTGAACTTTCATGGCAACTAAACTCAATAAAATCTTGGGCAATCAGCCATGTCAAATGGTCATACTGAGACCAATAGATACATCAGAACCCTGATGATGGGACAGAGATGGTTCCTGAAATGTTGGTCTCTTCATGTAACCATTTGATGTTATTTTATTTTATTAAGTATTTGTATGTAATAATTAATTAAGAGAACTTAGAATGGATCTGGAGGAGTGAATAGGGTACATTTTGATTATACTTCATAAGAATATCTTGACACTGGAGGCAATAAAGCGATCATACTTTTTACTTCCCTACCATTGATAACATAAACTAAAGGTATTAAGATCTTCTGAGGTGAGAACACCAATGCTACTTAATGTGGGGTCTATAAAAGAAACCATAATTCGTTGCAAATTCAGAGATTTGGAACTCCAAAATAAATGGTTTGCATATAGACTACTAATTGTAAATAAAACATTAATTCAATGTAAGTGACAAAGTAGGGGCTTAGAAGTCCAGATAGGCTCTCCCACAATTTGTATAAGGAACTCAATAAAGAAATAATGTCAGGAGATGGCTGATGCTACAATCAAGATTAAAAATGGAGCCTCTCAAATACAATTTATATGAGTGACAGCTTGAACTAACATGCACGGTTAGTAAAGTTCATTACGCTATCTGAATTATTTGATACAATGCAACTAATCAAGTTTTTATGGGGTAATCCCTAATGAAAATACTTCAAATGCTTAATAAAGATGTTATATTTGTTAGAGTCATTGTATGTATTTAATAAATACGTGCTCATCAATTTTAAGAATTTTATAAACAAAATACTGTTGCTGTTCTGATGGCTATAAAACACTATTATATATTTCATCTTGCTACATACCCAAATATCACAGCATTCCAGATCATTATATTGTTATCTGTTGGTGCACCACTCACTCCTGTAGGTGGATCTTCTTGAAGTCTATAACAATAAACACAGCAGAAAACATACTAGAGGCTTGGCAGCACAACAAAATATAATTTCAACATTAACAATGGTAACTCAAGAGTTCAACTAATTATGTATGGGAAAATGATCGTGAGGACAGCAGGTATGATCTGCAACTAGCAGCTGTAGCATATTTAAAGGTATTTCCCAGGACAGACTGAGGAACACAATGAAAAACTAAGACCAACCAGTGGCCCAGCTAAAATCTGAAACAAGTATCTCCTACATACTAGTGTAGAGACTGTGCCATAATACTTTGATTTCAGTTACTTCCAAGTTCTGCCCATTAATTTATTCCTTACAAGATATATAAATGAATGATAAAGTTACAAAATTACAACTTGATTTACCTCAAATTTTAATTTCTACATCCTATACCTTAAATTCACATCAATAAAATTACAGTATAAAGCAAAGATCTTAATTTACAATAGTCTTTGTCAGGAACCATGGTAGTTCAGAGGATTAAGACAAATTACTACTAACTGGGCAAAATTATATTCATGATATATGATATGAACATCAATATGTTTCCTTCAACTCAACATACTAAATGTTGTAATTTATAAACCCTCAAAATGCTTTTATCAGCTGTGATCATATTTGTGAAACGTGTAACTATCCAAACTGTTAAATGTATCCACTAAAGAAGACACTGTTAAATTTCCTTTATGCAATAAATACAAAAACAAATCTTCAATGACTCCTTGCAGAAGGTGAAATGCCAGTAATACGACAACATAGCCCTCTGAGGAAGACAAATTATATCATATGAGTGCTTTCAATGGTTGATTTTCTTCCTTCTTGGCAATTATTTATTATCTTTTCTTACATGTCCTGACAATATGTTCTTTTATGGAATTGGTACTATGGTAGAGTGCATTATGAATTCAATGATTGTATACCAAAAAGTCAATATTTACTTAACAGTGGTTATAATAAATCCAATGTTGCACTACAGAGTCACAAGATGAAAATCTAACCTCAAAAAATACAAAATCTAACCATATAAAATTTCACAACAGGGAGTTTCATTACATGTGCAATCATGGTTATAAACCTGTCTCCCTTTTCTAGTAGAAAATACTTTAAATGGACTACTTGGCACTGAAATTTCATTTACATACTATGGCAATCTGCAACTTTCAATAAGTTTTTAAATTTACCAAACATAATATCTCATATGCCATATCTAAGAGTCTCAATGTTTTCATAAAGGACTACTGTTGACATGTAATAGATTTTAATAGCAACCATTAATAACTACTAACTCTTCAAAATCAAATAACGTGATCACATTTGTGAAAGTTAATTTTCAGTATTTCCAAACACATTACCCACACACCACAGTAGGTTAACTATGCTAGTGTGCATTATTACCATACAATTGTAAAAAAAAAAAAAAAAAAAAAAAAAGAGAGAGATTTGGCTAACAAATATTATTTAAAAATTTACTAGCCATTTATATGCAGCATATTTCATGCAGGCAAGCTAGATGATGTCACAGTGAAATCACACTATCATTTTCATTCTTAGACTATTTAATGATACTCTCAGTACCTCAAATGATTTTATGTTGAATAACAGGGTTAGTATATAAAGGCCTGCAAAATATATGAAAGGAGAGGACTGTGGCCTAATATAAGGTATTATTTCAGCACTGAAGGAACTGAGGAAAATCACATAAAAACCTCAATCAGGATAGATGGTCTCCAAGCCAAGATAAAATCTTCAGTCTCTCAAATACAAATTAAGAGAGCTAACCACTCAACTGCAATGTCCAGTTTAAAATCATGTTTCCAGATGCTAGGAATAAAGTTACAACACGAAGCTCAAACAGCAGACATTTAAATTAAAATGCTGACATACCAAAGAGAAATATGCAAAGCTTATATAAAACTTATTATGTGACCCAACTGCAACTTTAATGAGCAAAACCTGTAACTTAACATAAAAATTATTTTTTCTTGACACATAACTGTAAAGCAACATTGCAACCAGTACTCGTCATGTATCAACAAGTAATTTGTTGTGTAGCAGTGTGGTATGACATAACTGCTCGGTACGTGTACTGTGAAACCCAGGAAAACTGTCATGTGCACTTTTAAATAAAAAAAATCGTAGAAAGGCAATACTGACCTTCCACTTCCATTTTCACAAGGACTCAATCGACATTTACCGTTAAATCCTACACACATTAACTTGTGGGTCAAATTAACTTTAAATACCAACACTTCTTCGCTCTAAGATTCAAATACAAATAGTGATAAACACCGCCTGATAATCTTAAAGTTGTCTTCAATCACATCTAATTGGCAAAGTTTCAAGAGTTATGCACAAATGTATTAACTCACCTCTTAAAATCACGCATAAGACGTCTCCTTGCTGGGGTGGACATACTTTCTAGGTTGTGTAGATACACAGAATGATTTGGGGAGTCACTTCTATATTTCAGAGTGTAACTAACAAAACTATAAATAACTGGAACAAAGGCCCAGTTCTCCGTATCTTCAATTCGCCATTCCTCCACAAAACCAATTTCAGGATCTGACGTTACACGCAAAGTACGTTCCTACGGTTATCGGTTACCCGTGTTCACAGTCTTTCGATTCCAACACTTACAAAACAAATTTTACGATATTATATCATTATATATCCTTGATCCCAAATGACGAAGCACAGATTTCAATTAAGACGAGAAATGAGGTAGATAGTAACCTGTGTAGATGGCAGGGCGGGCGGCTCATTGAATTTTCATTGACGATCTGGAAAAACATTTCTTTCGTGATTTCATTAGCAGTTAATATATCAGTGGAAGCCCCTAAAATATGTCCAACGTATTTAAGTTTTTATTGTTGCTTTTAACACGTTGACTGTCACAATGAATTTTAATTGTCGTTCGTCTCAGACCAAAATTATTATTGCATTTTAGGTTTCTTATAAATATATTGTTGCACCTGCTCTTTCCATGAAGACGAGGTAATGACCTGTTCCCAGGCTAAATTATTTGGTCCCTCTCTCTCTCTCGTGTGAGCCACCAAGGTCAGGTTTTCCACCAAGTTAATAAAATAAAGCTTGACATGAATATGAAAGCTGTGGCATTCTAATTACAATTTTCTTCAACAATATTAATTACTTCAATTTGTCTCCTAATGTCCTTACTCATTTTTTATATCCTTACCACTCTTCATAAGTTCTTTAAACTCATTTGTGCTGCTTCCAAGTACTTCCTGTCTTAATATCCATTATATATATATATATATATATATACACATAAAAAAAAATACAAGGCCACACATAAGACTATAATTTAGTAAATAGTCTTATAATTAATTGTCTTATTCCATCTCATAGATAAGTAAATAAGTGATCTTCTTACAATTGTTATTTCACATGCCTTAAATGTAATATTGTAACATATCAGGTGTTTTGATCTACGGGAAGAATAAATAAATACATTAGCAATAACAGCAGCAGCAGCAATACTGATGATGACCTAGCACCTTCAAACAGCCAAACCAACATTATAACAGTAAGTGGACGAGCCCTGACAAATTCAAATTAGGTACCTTCCAAAAGGAAGTCTGGTTTATTGCTGCTAGGCTACATTTGTTAAATGTGTTTGCTGTCTACAATGAACATGACTGGAGGTCTGATTTTAATACCAGAAACCTGGTTGTAGACCAGAGACTGTTGCTGTAGACAGCATGCCTGTGATATAAAACAATTTAAAGAGATATATCAAATGATAACAAGAAAAGAAAGAAAGGTCATATACAAGACATTATGATATGAATAAAAATTTTATTGCATTATAAATATATATGTTACTGTTAAATAAAACATTAATATTTCAATATAACATCAAATGTAGATGTGAAAGTCCTGTAGATGATAATATATTAAAATCTACATTTGTAACAAACTTCACTGGTGGTTTGAAAAAATACCTTGAATTTATAACAGAATCAACAACTTGTATTACAATTCAGTACTTCACTTACAGAGTATATTTATGTATTTCATCTGCTTCTCAGTTGGGTTAGGTTAGAACAAAAAATTATCATATTCTTAAATGTCACTAGGTGAATGTTTTTGCAACAGAAATATGGTCTTCTTGGTTAGTGGTACCAAACTGTTGTATACAGTTTCAATCATCTTAACCCTCTGAAATGATAAACAATCCTAATAAAGGTGACAATGCCCCACACATCAGAAAATAAATGTCAAACTACCTTTTCTATATTGCATTTGTCTGAATAAAATAAACTTTTTTTCTTCTAGTATCTGAAAAATGTAATGCATATTATGAAGATTTCCGTCATCAGGACGGAGGCAGTATGACCTCTGAAACGTTGGTTATCATCGACCAGACTACACGGCGCAACAACCCAGAAGACGGAAATCTTCATACTCACCACTGTATAAACCTCAAATCCTACATACTGCATATTATATTTGCACGTGACTTAGAGGTAGTGTCAAAATGGCGAATGTGCACGAACACAATATACAGGAATTTTTATGAGATATCTGCAGGGAAAAAAGTGTGCATTCAATACAGGTAAATTGAATACATGGAACACAACCATCAAAGTTCACTCTGGCTTCAAACATAATTTGTTCTTGGTGTATATACCTATTAGTACTGTACCTGCACATCAAGAAATACACATTAGCATCACATTTAGGGCAAAATGTATACAAAGTGCTTATAGTATATTTCTGCCTTTCTTGTGGACTCAGGGAAGACTTCACAGAATTTTTAGTTTTTGTACAAATAAATCACACAAAAATGATCCTGTTAGTGCTGTGAATTTACAAGGATAACAGAAGGATGTGACATCAGTAATTAAATGCTCCATTAAACCCTCTATCACAGACATCAGACTGTAACAGAGCAGAAGAAAGTTAACAGCAGGTATCAACACAGTAGACTAGATATATTATACTTATATATATTGTTCTAAGGCACTTCTGTTGTACTTTAATAAAGTAACAATGACACTGTGTTGTATTAAGGAAAGTTTATCTTTGGTTTCAATTTATTTCATCTCCAAGAACCTGTAAAACTACTTTTTACTACAAGTGCAATTCAGTTAAAACCAAAGGATAAATTCAAAATTAGTGGAATCCTCTACCATTTGATACGTTTACATTTGGCATGCATACTATATCAAATGAAGATAAAAGACATTATTAAACAGAGCCGTCATTTGTGTAGATTCATTGATTCTGAGAATATTTTTAGTCATTAAGCACTTGGAAGGAGGCAACTATGACCTATTTCTAAGCCACTGACTGCTTGGTAATATTGGGAGACACTGAGGAAAACCATTGAGAATACTGTCACATTGGTCACTTGTGAAGATATTTCATGTATAGAAATATGATGATAATGATTATGATAAGTTCAAACTTCGATGACTTCCCTGAAATTTCTGGTATGAAGAGAAAAAGCATGTGTCTAAATTCAGCAAGAAGGGAAAGATTATGATATTGAATAAAGGCAATTAATGTTTACTGAATAATTAATCAATACATTTTTGTAAAAAAATAGTCAAATATGGTGTTTCTGAGGCTTAATGCAATTTTCAATATGTATATTTTATAATCACCACATGAGACCAACATTTGTAAATTTATTTCTGACATTTTCACTGAGGTAATATAATTGAAAAGTGTTTCTCCACACCAGATGTGGTCAGTCTAATTTGTCTTGAGACAATACTCAAACAGAATATAAGAAACATACACTAACAACAATATACCTAACTACAACAGAAAATAAAAAGGCTTCCAAAAACATTATATAAGTGACAGAAACATTCTACATAAAATAATGTGCCAAGAGATATATGGGTTAAGACAAGTTGGAATTTCATGATAGAAAATTGCAGAAGTAAACTGCAATTGATTATATCATCCTGAGAATCTAATGATCTCAAGCTGCCCTATAACCCATTTTTAATCTACTTAGCAAAATCCACTTGCTCAAAGTCTCATACATGAGACATTCAAAAACTTAATGTTTAGACCAGGGAAAAAAAGTAATACACTTTAATTTTCTTTCTGCATCATTCACATGGCAATATATCACTTTTTTTATGAAGTTCTTAATACAGTTAGTCTGATGTTACCACTGGTCTCCATTAACTCAACTGTAACAATTGGGCAAGCATATATCTAAAGACCTCAATGGCAGTAAATTCAATCCCACCTATGGGTGCCCATGCCTCAGAAACAATTACTCAACCTTGCCAATAAATGTTCATTTTACTGGCAACATCTTGGGGACATAATGGCAACAGATGTATTTTCTTAAGGCACTATAATAATTAGAAACATTCTCAGAGATTATAAACAAAAAACTATCTGTTTCTTATTGATTACAGTTCAATTCTTCATTTGATGTAAACACTGTTTGTGCAAAAATTTAAAATCTCACATTTACTTCTACATACAGCACCTCAGTTTCCAGAGTAAGCCCATTTCTTCCTCAAGTCCTCTTTATATAAGTGTTAAAAACATATATTAATAAATAAACTGTATGACAAAGACTGTAAAACTTTGCAATAACTTTGTTTACTGTACAATAAAAATGAGATTGTTTGTTACAGCTAATATCAGAGTAGTGTAATGCAAATATTGCACTACTACTACTGAAACATTTACCAAAGCATGGCTCCCCTGCAGTTAAACCTCATTAAATCCTTATAGTAAATGTTAACTTTAGTAGCAACATCTTGGAGACATAAGGCAACAGATGTAGCATCCATACCTTTTAAGGCACTGTTACAACCAAATATTAGATACAGTTACACAACATGTACCTGAATTAAATTCTTATGTTTAAACTTCATGAAGTCTAGGCTGTTCCCACCAAAGTTACGCCTGTTTAATTTGTACTTACTGAGTACTGCTATGAATTGATCCACAGTGAAAGATAATATACAGGCAGTTTCATAAATTTCTGAACTGCAAGAATGTCAAATTGTAAGGAAAAGAATCATCAGTAAAATGACATCATAGGTGTAAATACTTTTCTAGGCAAAATGGAACTTAGAAGTTCTACAAGTACTAAAAATGTGATAAGACAAATTGAATTCTTTTCTGTTTTATGTTGTCAGAATACTTCTCAGATAAATTCATATTCTCTTATCAATAAGCTAGAATAAATTAATCTTTCATTATGTAACATGCATATTTTATCATCAGGAAAAATGAGACTTTAGGTTCTAATGGTGAAGATGACATTAGGAAAGATGTTCATTGGTCTGTTCAGTTTTAGTAATTAATTTGTTACACTGAACATATTACAATAATCTACTAAAATAATAACAACTGTCCACGTTTCACTATACGTGTGCCACTTATGTAACACAGAAAAAATAAAGTTCTAACAGTGGCAATTATGGTAACAAGAAAAGCAAATAAGGCTATGGTGGTGCCTGGCAGTCTGTATTTTGCTATGAAATTACATACCTTTCCACAGGAAAGGACTCAGAGGGACCTAAGTTGAAAGTACCTAATGAACATGAATTACTCAATTAATGGTAACACAAGAGTTCAGTATGTGGGTCTCATTATGTTATATTTGGCAATACCATGGGTCTTCCAGTTCAGCAAAACTCCTAATATAGTGTGTGAAGAAGTGACATAAATATAGTAGACAGTTCCACATTCAATAGATAATTTCAACTATTGGTCCCATGACATCATTGAAGAAATGAGTTATCATTCAGAACTACCCTGAATTAAACACATTTACTTAGACAACTACTTTTGCAAGTATCTTAACACTTAAATGAAAATATAAAAATCAGTTAGTTATATGATGTTTCTGAAAACAGAGTTATAGAATATTATAATTACACAGGTATCAAAAATCACAATTCTTAATTGTAATAAAATATATCATTTCTTTATAAACTTTTGTGCTACTATAATAAAACTTCAGTACACTTCAGTATTTATGAAGATGTGTAATAACATTCTTTTCAAAGGAAGACAATTTGTCAGTCTGGAGAAACCATATGTACTTGATTCTCCATGAGAAGACAAGTATGTCATTTCAATCCAAAAAAGAAAATCACAACTTTGTCTTATCATGTAAGATGTACATAACTAAAGTGCACAATCAATAATGTTATGTCACAAATTATAATGTTAAACAATTGACTCCTTAAAGAAAGTATTTTGTGCGAGACAGAACATAAATTAGAAATAGAATATAGTACTTACTAAGTACTTCATCACAGAATTCTACTAACAACTGAAGATGTATGAAATAGGACAAATTACAACATAACAGCTATAAAAATCTGACTGCATTTCACCTTGTTGCAATACTGTTGCTAGTTACAGAATCAGACTGAAGTTGCTTCTGTTCAGGCAGTATGCTAACCATTAACTGTATCACGACAATTTAAATTTAGGCATTCTATACGCATAACACAAATACCATTCTCTGCACTCTCCTTCATACCTTGTACATGATTAGTATCAAGAATTAAAAGTGAATTGTAAGCCACATGTAAACACTAAATTTACTTCCTTGTAAACATAGATATTTGGGGTAGAGCATATCATTTTATTGCTCCTGGTCCCACATGTTCAGACAGCCATGATTTGCCACTGAGAGACAGTTGATAACAAATGGAGCAGAATTACATGCCTTTTTCTTTCATTCAATGACCACATTCTTTTTACTTGAGTGGCAGAAAAGTCTTCCTTAAATTGTTAGGACAAAGAAAATATACTCAACCCCAACCCCTTTAATTGTCACTTCAATTGCTAATAAATGTATAAACTATTCTATATAAACTATTTATAACAAATTAGATACTTTACTGATAACTTATGTAAACTGCATACTGATGCTGCATTTAATCATATTTTATTTTCCTTCAATTTAAATTCAAAAATCTTCAAAAACCTCTTACCATTTCTCTTCCTATAATAAAAAATTAAATCAGATAATGACCATTTTATGGAGATGCTTTCCTTTTGTGTTTGTCACCTTCTTGTGTTTGTCTTTTGCCTTCATCCTGACATTTAACTTGCCCTTTTCAAAGTCAGTACATAACCAAACCCATGTTGTTGAACATTAGATGTGTGTGGTGCATTTAGAAGAGAGCTTGCCCTTCCATCATTCCTTTTGCACAGTAATATGGAAACTGTACCCCTTTCAGCAAGAAGTCTGTAATTACCTGTAAAATAATTAACAATGAAATTTAAAATCATATCTGAAATTTAGTAAATATTTTAAACTGCTGTTCACACTATATTACTACTTCTCTCACATGTAGTTTCAGTCACAGTCAACCATCATTACTACCTTATTCATGCAATAATAAACATCTGCTTCTATACATAAAATCCCATCTTTACATTTTTGCAACTGAGGTAAAAAAAAGGTTTTTCTTATCTTCTACTCTTAGTTAATATGTCAAAGCTAACCTCACTAATTATCAGAAAGGTATGTACTATGCACGAATCAAGAAATTCAATACTCTTGCATCCAATACTAAAAGTTTAAATACTCCATGACATACAAGTAATTAAGCCAGCACTGACATATTATCTCTTATCTCACTCCTACACTATATATAAGGATAAACTTCAATCAAAATTTGTATGTACTGAGAATTTATATAAATTTTTACATACTTACTTAGCATCCTTACAAAATAAGATGCCTGTAAATAACTGTAACAACTAACGATGTACTTATATTTACATTTGTATTATGCATATATGACAATTCCTACTTTCTTGACTTACTTCTATAAAGGATCTATGGAATGCAAATAAATTCCAATTGTAATTCTAATTATTAATCTGTCTAACAGTTTATTTCAGTTAAAAATTCCTACTTAATGCAAAGAAAATATTTATGTGACATATATTAATATCTGTATTAAGTAGTGTATTCACTTTATGATATGTTCTATATTCTTGGCTTCATCCTTTGAATGATCTTTGAAAAATAAATACATTCCATTCTATCCTATTCTACACAGAAAACATCAGCATTACATTGAGTGAGATCAACTCCCTGCTATGGTTGCTTCAACTTCAGTGAAAGAGATTCCAGTACAAAGGACAAAATTATAGTTTCATGCATTTCAGAAACGTACCGAAATATCTGGTATGCACACTGTGATGGGTAAAATTAAGATGTAGAAGAATGCACAAAACCCAGCCACTTCAAATGAGATAAATATAAGTATCAACAACCATATGATGAACCACAGTGGATTGGAACCCATGCCAGCACCCATCTTGACTTGTTATTGTAGACTGCTGCTAACATGAAATTATCAACATTTTCAATTTTCATATATCCAAACTCAAAAATTATATATCATAAATAAAAATACAGCATTTTGAAATAATTTTGCATTCTGAACATAAAAAAATATGTACAGAAACTCCCTAAAATAGAAGGCATCCATGTAACAAAGAATATGCCGTGCCTTTACAAGATAAACTACATTTTGGTGAAGATACACATAGTAGGAAAATTTTAATTTCATACCCTATGTTAACTTCTATAAGACACACAAGTTTTTTGTTTGATAACCTACACTTGGCATTTTGAATGCCAAAACTTGTGACTGATGACTTAGTTAAACAAATAAAAATTGCTAATGTAAAAAACTGTACAAATGGATTCACTTAATAATCAAAAATATAAATAATACACCTAACTGGAGTAAGTGTATGGAGGCATGATAATAGAAAAATGTATCCCTATTTAAATTAATTACTCATAACCGTTTTACGGATTTATTGTCAACTGTTGAAAAAAATTTGCCAAGAGTCCAGATGGGATTCTAATTATTACTAGGTTTACAAATTGGAAGTGATGCGATTAAGTTACACTTTTGGTATAGTCTGTGTAGTCACGGATACGTGGAAAAATAAAAGAAAGCCCTAATACTACATGTTCAATTATGTTACAGACAATTTAATTAGCCCAAAGACACAAAATGGAGACAGTAAGAAAACTGGGCAAAAATAAACCTAACTTAATTGTTAAGGAACAGAATGCTGTTATTACCATTTCAATATTATGGCGTTTTGCTTCATGTGTACTGATTTCACACAGCCAAAAGTTGTTTATACCTAATCGAATTTATATTCAACAGGTGGAAACAGGTGATTTACGAATTTATGAATCCATATGCCGGAATTATTTACAAATGACTAATAACACGAAACTTTAAAAAAACACATAACCTTACGTACTTTTTAAATTATGAAAAACTGTATAGTTTCGTATGCTTTTCATTGCAGTGATTTATCAATGCAACTGTATCCTAAGATCAATTAAAAAGACAATTTTTAGCAGATATAATCAATGTTGATAAACCAATAACAGCTCCCCAAACGAATCAGCATGCCATTTACTTTTTGTTTTACTTACATAAATAATAACACTTCGCTTACCTGTTCGCAGATACTTATTTTCAAAACAAATTATCAAAAGCTGTGGTTATAACCGATAAGCACGGTACTAGATCTAACGTATACGAGCGATGGTACGCGGGATGGAGATATTACACAAAACATAAACATATGTGGGTGTGGTCCCAAGCGTAAGGTGCGTGTGGAGGAAAAATAACGGCACAGTACCATATGCTCTAAATGTAACTATTAAAATTAAAGTGTCCCAAAGAAATAAAAACTTTGATGGCGTACAAGTATCGTCGAAAGTGTCATAGCTCTAATCAACTATCGTCCCTTCCCCCCCCCCCCCCCCAGTGCCTTGACTGGGTGACGAGGGGCATTGAACGACTGCCATAATTAGCTTATCTCTTTCTTTTACGACTTGCTTCTCTTGCCAAGAGGAAGAGTCTACATTAATGTTTGATCTTCTGCAGTCATTTCCGAAAAGTAAAAACTGCGTTATTGCAACTACCAGATTCAGATCCCGACCGAGGACTGCTTACCAGACATTTTTGGGGTCCTTCCAGTCGAATACCTGAATAATTCCTTTGCAATATGATACAACCATTTCTTCCCAGTTCCCTTACTATTCAGTCGTCTCATCCCAGTCTACTCTACATAACCGCCCGAACGGTAAAAACACATAAACACCACCCTCTCCCCTGTCACAGCAATATTACCTCACCCATCCTTGTGACAGCAAACCAAACTTAACTAGGAAATAGCACTTGATCTAAAACCACTCTAGACCATGGCATGGTGGGGAGATTTGTGGCCTGTAACTTGTTTTGTAGACACAGCATCCTTAAATAGGCAAGAGGAAATGAATATAAAACCTTATTGAAAAAGTGAAAAACAGCCATTTGGTTGACCAAGAAATATATGGTTGGTTTTAAACTGAATCACAGTAAAATAAGTTGATAATATAGCTACTCCAGTCCAAATCTATAATTATGCTGCCATTCTTGTTGGATTATATCTTCTTCAGCACATAGTCACTGGAATGGAGGATGGCCCCTTACCTTTTCTGAGTTTCAGTACATTTCTATGCACAGATGAAAAAAAGAACATCTTAATTTATTGTCATGTGTACTGGGTTCATTGTAACTATGATTTTTTGTTGATTAGTAACATTTTTATATGGCCATGCACTATAAATAAACCACATACATATAACACAGGTGCTGCTTGTGATGAAAGCAAAAGGTCTTACCAAAATATAAGCACAATAGAACAATGCTATCAAGGAAGGTCAGATCTAGCCATGCTGCGTTAAGTATTGTTGGTTTTTGCAGAGGGAAGATGAAACTATTCAGAAGAGGAAAAAATAATTTTGTATTGTGTATTGAATTTTTAGTCAAAACAGTATTTTCTTCACTTCTGTATTTTTTCTTAATGTTCTTACAACTTCTGTCACCCATGTGACAATATAATTTATTGGTGAATAAAAGTTTATTCTCATTTAAACAATGGTATTATTTCAAACTGCATAATAAGTTGTAAGTATATTTGCATATGCATACAAATATAAAGTGTAACAAAAAATACAGTAGAACCTTGATATACCGCACCTTGCTATAACAAGGACTCAGATATACTGCGGCTGTGATCATGTCCCCAATACGATTACATACGTTTTACATACTCACATATAATGCAGGTAGCTTATAACACGGGTACTGAAGCTGTCCCTCGAAACCTGCATTATATCGAGGTTCCACTGTATATGCATGTTACAACTTTTAGACTGTCACCTTTTTTATCAGCTTCCACAATTTAGTAAAAATTATTTTATTTTGCACATGTTATTGAAAAAAGGAAATATCTGTAGTGTTGTGCGATGTTTTGACCTAATGAATGAATATTCTGAAATTTCAGTTCACATTGACGAAAGGAACAGAACCAAGCAATACAGAACAAACAGAATTTGTTCTTTCTAAAACATTTCCCAGGTACTAAAAGTCATCAAAAACTAGACCGTTTCTTTGGAAAGAGCATGAATCACTTTATATCTAATCAACTTCCTCACAGAACAGCAAAGACTTATGGGATGTCCTCACCAAGATATCAAAAGCAAGAAGCCCTTTTGTGCACCTATTTTGAAAATATTATATTTAGGAATATATTATTCATTATAATAATTTTATTCACCGTCTTTACACAAGCTTATAGATTGTTAAAATCACATAAAATTATAACATTTCTTCATTTGATATTGTTACATGTAACAATGTAATAATATATTTCTTCATTTGATATTGTTACATGTAACAATGTAATAATATATTTCTTCATTTGATATTGTTACATGTAACAATGTAATAATATATTTCTTCATTTGATATTGTTACATGTAACAATGTAACAATATCAAATGAAGAAATGTTATAATTTTATGTGATTTTAACAATCTATAAGCTTGTGTAAAGACGGTGAATAAAATTATTATATTGAAGAACACAAGCATGACGCAATTAAGATATAAAATATTATTCATGTTGAAAATTGGAAAGTAAAGCAATCTCCTGTATAGGGTTTGTTCAGACAACACAATTTATGCAGCACAGTTCAACATACAGCCAGCAGAAAGCAAGAAAACTAACCAAAATCTTATTGGCTGAAATGCACTGTATGAAGGTAGTTTACACACTGTGTGCAGAAACAACATATGTTTACTGACTCATGCTGTTTCTACTCTCAGTGTAACCTGACAGATATGGCAAGTAGAAGAGCCACTTTCAGGTATTTTGTTGTAAAGTTTGATATGAAAGTAAACATTTGTAGAAATGCACTGTTTGCCTTTCATGGCATTTCAGAAGCCTGAGGATAAATGGGAATCCAATCGAAAAGACAGATGTGAAATCTGCCACAAATTTGTAAGACACTAACACATTAGGAAAGTAGATACAATATCATGATTCATGGTTAGATACAAAACAGGTATTTTCCTTGTTTCCAACATCCTACTTCATGTTCCTGTCAAATGTGTTCTGTCTACAATACAACGAAGATGATGTCCTTTGATTTTAAAGACCACAGGCTGACTCATATTAAATGTGAGGAAAATGGCACAATGATTAAGTCCTTTATCACATACTGCTAAACAGGCAGATATTGCAGAAGTGGAGGCTTTCAAACACACTTACTGCTAGATCAAAGTGGTATGAACAAGAACCATAAGGCTACCACAGAATTTACATTCACTTTCATGCAGACCTGTATCTGCCATCAAGTCCCCAGAGCAAGAAACATTCATGGGTGCTCTATTTTGGACTGCACAATCTGATGCCTGATAATTCTAAATTATTTGTTTATCTTGGTAAGGCCAATAAAGCAGGCAATGAAATATGCAGCATGTTTACCAGATACACAGACTCTTGTGTGCCTGATACTGGTACGGATTTCCATCTGCCTTCTGATGGATGTCCTGGCTGAAACAAGAATCACATTTCCATCACATTCAGCCCTGCTCTTACTTATTCTGACCAGTTTTGACTTCATCATAGTAGTTGGTGGCCAAAGTAATACAATAAATCAAGCTTATTAATGGATCCATTTGAGTCTAAAGTTCTGAGGCATTTAAAATGTCCTCCATACACTTGAAAAAGTGGATGGTTTACCTTCACCTCTTTTATTTTTGCACAAAACTTACATAAAATTTGTTGAATCTCATATATTATGTATACATCTTTTTATTTTGTTACTTGCATTTTTTGCATTGCTTAAAAAGTTACTATAGTAATATCCTACATTATTCTAATGTGAATGTGTAACACAGAAGTAATCAAAAATATGTTACTGTACATACAATTACATCTACATTGACTTCATTGTGTGTCTGAAACTACAGTACCAGTACTTCTGAAATAATAACATTTTTTGTTGTTCACAATAGGATGCTTTTGTGCAATACTTGTTCGCTGTCTTACATAGAAACTGCATCATTTAAAATATTTCTGCAACCAATCTTGGCTTGCGTTGAAGCCCTGAATTCCCATTTTCCTTCATAATTTCTACAGCTTTCAATTGCCACATTTCACTTGATAATGCACAACAAAACTGCCACCTCTCATTTAAATATGAAGAAAGCTTTACTTCTCTCTCTGGAATTTTTCTTTTTCATTCCCAAAAAATCTGCCAGTAATGACTGCCTCACAAAAATATCCTTCTTTGTCTCCAATCTTCGATACATCTTTCACTCACTTCAAATACTCTGGGAGAAACATGATTCCCTATTTATTGTCTTTCTCATAAAACCTCCGCTTTCTCACAGACCTTAGACAATAATAGTCACTGCGTTTAATTACTCTCCAACAATAGTATCTGTCTGTCATGTCTTGACATCTTTGAAGAACAGACACAAGAGGAGGCAAGTACATGTTTCTCTGTTGTACACACTGTATGAGCAGTGTACATGTAACAATGAATCAAACATCACAGTGCAGAATGTTTGGTTGATTCCCCTAACCCCAGGGAATACCTGCATTGCCATCCCACTGCATGAAGCAAGGAGCGATGAGTCAAGCCAAAACAACTTTCATGGACTGCACACACCAAATAAATGGATGCTGATAATTAAAGCTGGCCTTAACAGCAACATTTGTTGCAGATAAAAAAAAGAGTATGGCCAAGATGGCTAGTTTTAGCAACAGCTATCTTGCAGAGATCGACAGCTGACAATACCCCCTCCCCCCAATTCCTTCGTGCTGCAAGAAAGGAGGAAGTTTTGAAGATCAAGTTTCTTACACTTCCTACTGGCTGATATACTCCAAGCAAATGATGTGAAGTCTAGAGCTGCATTTTGTATACTCCCATGTTGTGGACTTTTTGTACTAGAATTAAGTCCTCAAGTGTGATGATGCATGCCCATTATTTTATGCAAAAAATCTTACCACCCTATTTCAAAGTTCTTATGATAGATAACAAATTCAACAAAACATGATTAGCATTCCCTGCACTTTCTAAAAGTGAGTACTTTATATTAAAGTATGTGGTTGCAATAACAAGTAACTCAAATATATTTATTTTTGCCTCCTGAAAAATGAGTGATTTCTGATTTGTTATTTCTGAAACTGACTCAGTATTCTCAGCTCCACCTAGGCCTCCTTATGAGATTCTATAATGGAATGCAGATGGCTTATCTCAACTGAAAGACAAAAATTCTAGAAGATTCTAAATGAAGACAAATTTATAATCTCACATCTTTAGAGTAGCTAATGCAAGATATTTCCAATTAAAATGGCATTAAATGTTCATAATTAACCAAAAACAAAACAATTGGAAATTTTATGGCAGCCAACAGTATAATGACATTTTGAAAGTAGTTAATAATATGAACCAAGTGATGAATCTGAAGTTATGAAATTTGATGTATGTAGCAATGACAAGCTGTAAGAGTGAAAAGTGTATACACCCTTAATTTCATATCAATATCAAAAACAGCAGCAGTTGGGTGTATTCAATCAGAATGGGGATACAGAGAGAATTACAGCTTAAAAGGCACCAACATATTTAATCTAAGTTAATGCATTGTTATTGATATTCATTGTTGCTGATGTGTACAGTGATGATCTCTTCAAACTTCGAAGTCCCTGCCCACCTCATCAACGGTGAAAGAATCCATTCCTGACTGGAGAACATACAAAATGGAATACATTACTCCCAGTGGTAGAATGCTGGCTGACAGGCATACAGGTAACTTAGCACAGGCTCCATACAACATGGCCTGTTGTTCCCAACCTCATTTAATTCTGTTCATCTAATTTACAATAAAGGTGCATCACAACCAATCCAGATCGCACATTATCATTTTCAGACATCCTTCCTATAACATGAAAATTATAGGTGACCCATGATAATCACAAATGATCACCTTAATGTGCAGGAATAGGGTATTTAAATCCCCACAGTATAGGACTGCAGGTCAGATTTAACTACAGAGCAATATAATGGTACTGCTATGCTACTGTAATAGAGCCAGCTTAACTGTGCATAAGTCAAGATGGACAGCCAACAAATGTTAAAACCGTATATAAATGTTCCAAATACCAAACTTTGAGAGAAAATAAGTTCAAAACAGAATTCTCACTCACAACAGACAAATGCAACTTGGCAGGTAAAATATGACACAAACTGAAATTCCAATAGCAAAAACTCAAAACTACAAAATTTTCTAGACAATAACTATCAAGTTTAAAATTAAATGACTAGGTAAAAAGAAGATAAGAACATTATCAGCATTAAGACCTAATCCAGATGCTGTAATTTCAACTTCAAACCACTATGGGTTTGAACAGCATAAACAACAACTAATATATAAGCAAAATTATTGCACCTACTTTGCATGTAAAACAGATGAACTTAAGCACATGACTAATACTTTGGTAGAGTGCTATAGCGTGGTGGTGTCCTCCAAACAGCACTTGATGTCCTTTTCACAAATTTGATTCCAAATATCTTTGCAAGATCTGGTGTTGTTTCCTTACAGATAAAATATCCTCGATAAATATCCATTAATTTGTATTCACATCTTTTCAGAACTGGCTCATGTTCCTTTTCTGAAAAGAAAAGATCCATTTGTAAGATGAAAACACTGCAATTTTGTTATATTTTAATAGAAACTGTACTAAACATTCCTATTCACAACACCATAAATGTTTTATTAAATTACTAACTACATGCAGCAAAGTCCTTCTTGGGAATCTTAAAATCACTGAACTGGTCAAGACATTTGACACCTTCTATGAAACTAAAATATTCATTACCACATTCATAGCAGCACACCTATTTAACATTTCATTCAGGCTGATTTCTTGCTGAAAGGAGTTGTTAAACCCCCACCCAGTCCCCAAAGCTGGAAGACCACCCCCTGTTGGCTGTGAACTGCTTATTTAATAGATTTGGAGATAGCCTGCATATGTGGAGGCCTTCTCCAACCACAACCTGAGGATGTGCAATGCCATGGTAACAAGGTACCTAACTTAACAGCCTAAAATTCAAACATGTATGGTATTTTAAGAGCTACAGCGCCTAGCACCAAGTTTAAAACATTTCAGTGTATAGATTCACAGGTACATACCAACATTATGGAGAAATATACACAGCTTCAAAACCCAGAAGAACATTGCCATTGTTACTACTTTCTTCCTTGCCTAATGTAATTTAATATTCATATCACATTTGCATGAACATAAAACTCAAATTTTATCAAAATTTGTTTACCAATGCAATATACTCACTTCTTGCCCAAAGAGGTATTGGTCTCTTTGGCCTTTCTTCATCCTCACTGCACTCTTCTGCTGATGAATCAATTCCATAATTATTTACATTTGGAATCTTCTTCTTAGTTGGGCTCTGTTTGCTCAAACTGCTGTTGGGTTGTGACATATCAAAAGTTTTGTCCATAACTGCAACTTTACCTGGGACAGTTTTCAGTTTTGCTTCAGTCTGAAAAATTATTACCCACTGATCAGTCCCTCCAGGAATTGGTGCAAATGCTATGCAAGCAACAAAACAACTGGTTTAAAGAAACGGCTTCAAAATCATTAACTGATTATGGCAGCAAAGTAATCTTCTGCATCCAATATAAGCGATTCCATTAGCAGACAATTTACTGTGCAGAGGTATGAAGCTCATAATAATGCATTTATACAGCCTGGTCTCATTAAATGATTCAGTATAGCTCAATACCTAGAGAAGTCCCCATTTACAAGAATTTAATATTGCACTGTGATGGTAAAAATGTACTTGTCCTAACTTCGTACAAGATAGATCTCAGCTATACCTCCACTCCCCCCAAACAACCTACATGGCATGTAGCAGGATGGCTTTAATTTACTTTACTAACCACTACACACCAAACTTCTATGTCCCTAAGTTCTTACATGGACGTTACTAGAGGTAAACACTTAAATATTTTCATGTGTGTTTTCTGTACTGCATGCCAATTCTACATAGCAAAAACAGAGAAAAAAGACTTGAATGACATGATTCTGAATCATTAAAACTGCAGCAGAATTACATCACAGGCATAAGCACTAATAAGGTTCCAGTCATGTGTGAATCACAGTTCAATTCATTAAGGTCCAAGTTCACACTACAATTCTGCTCTAGCTGGAGGCTTCCAAAAATTAGATGGATTAGAAAACCTTCAGATAAAATATGTGTAACTCACGAATACAAACAGTTTATTTCAATCATTTCTTCAACACAGTCACCTTCTGAGGAAATGGCCACTGATCTCTAAAATAAATTTACCCTGGTATAGTTTCTGGGTTTATATAATTAATACAGTTAACTTCATTTGTGTCTAGTGGAAAGGACAAATGTTCCAAATTTAAGAAAAAATCAATGCTAATTTATGGCAAAACTAAATTTAATTTAAATTAAAAACATGCTTTACATAATCTAGTTAAAATCATACTTACCTTTTCTTTTGTCTGTTTTTCCTTGAGTTTAGCTTGCCATTGAGCCATCTTTGCAGCTTGTTGTTCCCTGCAAATAAAAAGTGACATTAGCATGTATGGGAAAGATTTCAAACTACTCTTAGTAAAACAACACAACCTGAATGGGAAATAATTTCATTTGTGGGGTAAGGAATATATAAAATTTCAATTATGCTAAATGCAGGGCCACATAAAACATGAAAAAATCTCTTTCTAACAAAATTTAGTATATAACATAATATACTTTTAATCCCATTTTAATTAAACACTGCAAAATAAAATTATTCGTACTTACAAAAATATTTACGTTTTTCTTATAAGATACGCCAAATTTGAAACATGTGTCCACAAAATCTTCATCCAGCCAGTATTGGGTAAACTAAAAGCCTTTGGCTACAGGTTAAAGTTAAGTACAATATAATATCATCTTTCCTTCATTCTTGTAGTTTATTTTAATGTGAAGTGCTACTATCAATACTTCTCATGACCAGATAGGCATTACAGACAAAATAAGTTAGTGAAGGACTACTATAAACTTTCTGCAATCTTCGATCAGTTTTGGATTTCCTACACTGACAAAACGAGACAAACCAGAATATGACCAACAACTTACCTGAGGATTGCAGCTTCCTTCTCCTCTGCTAAACGTTTCAGATATTGCCTCTCTGCCTCTTCCTGTTCCTTTTTACGTGCTGCTTGGAGACGACGCTGTTCTTCTTCCTAGCATCAGTAAGATCAATAATATGCCCATAATCTATGTTTATTCATACTGCCGATCAGCAAAAGCTGAAATTCAAGACCTTGCCTATTACTGGTCTCTCTAACTTACCAAATATTTTTTGGTCCCAAAAACACAGAATAGCAACCAATTCAAAATTACTTCTAATAAAGAGAAACAGTATAACATTAAAAAATGCAATATAAAATAGTCTGCTTGAATATTCATACATTTTTATTTATATAGCTGTATCCTGAGTATTCTCACCACTGCTTCAGTATGCAAAAACACGTTTCTTCAAAAAAGCAATCTTGGTAACCTTTGGAACAAAAGCTATGTTTTACACTTTCAAATTTTGTCATTAGTTCAATACAACTTTTCAGGGACAAAGTTTTTTTCAGTGAAAACTTAAAATGTTGCAGATTTCCTAAAATAAACAGCCACATAAGCCTATTTTCTTTCCTAAAGAAAAGAAAGCAGCAAAAAAGAGGGTTCTCTGGATCATAAAATGAAACCATTCTCCTGCAATAGCCAGTGAGCAAGTCCATTAGGCTCAATACTAAAACAGATAAACAAGAATGTAACATATAAGTATTTATAGTACATTGTTTAAATTTCAAGAAACTCCACTGAATCTGTAAGGCTCATTTAGAATTACATACTCCAGTTTTTAAGTAGTGCTTCTTACCTGTTCCTTCAGTTTGGCCAAACGAGCTGCTTCCTCTTGTTTTCTGCGTTCTTCAATTTCTGCCGCCTTCTGCTGAGCATATTGCTTCTTCTGTTGCACATGCTCCTTCATTTTATCTTCGCGGTCCTGCATTGCCTGTTTCGATTTCTCCTCTTTCTCCTTCTGTGTACGTAATTCCATGTCCTGTTTCTGTCTCTCAAGGGCTTCTCTAGCTTTTAAAACTTTTAACATTTTCTCTTCACGTTTCCTGCATATTTTTAACAAATGAGATAACAGAACAATTATTTAGGCATAAACAGTTTCATGCAAGTCAATCCTTTCCTCATTAATAAGACAAATTATGTTCTAGAGAAAGTATTATTTTGTTCCAATACTTTGTCAATGCCAACTTCACTTGACTGAAAATTCCCCATTGCTTCAGCTTATCTTTATATTCCCATGAAAAAATCTTGAGGTAATATTACATTCTTTGTTTTGCACAATACGGAGAAAACTGCCATTTGTGAAGTGGTCAGATGGTCCAAGCATTCTCAATCAGTGACACTTGCTCTACCACTTTGAAAACTTTCCACCCACTGATACACCTTCCTTTGCATAATGCAAGTTTTATATGCAGTGTGAGGGTTTTACAACCTCTGATCAGAAGAATAAAATTACAGCTTGCTGATCAATAACAGTGCAATTTGAAAGTGAAGTTGAAATGTTTACATCATGATTGCACAAGCTTCACTAAAAGTAACAGCTACTCCATGACATGCCTAGACTTGGCTCAGTATGTAGTATACGTGATATCCACAAGAGCATTGTCTGACAAATTATCAGGATTTTACACACAAATTTCCCTAACTTTTTAAATTCCCTTCATAAAAACCACATATTTAAATGTGTTGTCAAAACACACAAACATAAAAAAACTGAGTTTTAAACAATGTATCATATTTATAGTGATCAGGAAAATCACTGTTAATCCAAAATGAAACCTGTATGATCCCTTAACTTATAAAACAAAGTATGTTTCATCAAATAAAAGTAATAAGTTACCTTTTTTTTTCTTCTACTTTCTCCTTCACCTTTTGATCCCTCATCTTACGAGCTGCTTCCTCTTTCTCTATACGACGTTTTATCTCTTCTTCCCTCTTTTCTTGTATATCCAATGCAGGCTTCACGGCCAGTTTGGGAATGAAAGATTCTACCCCAAATACAATGTTACCTAATTGTCTGTTTACCTGAAATACATGAAAGCAGTATAATCAATACACAGTTAACATAGTATCACTGAATCACAAAAATAGCACGAGTTCATTAGTGCAGTCTCTGCTGAGCATAAGATTACAAATTGTAGGACTTGAGGTTTTCACGGCGGTGAGCTGTCTTCCGGGTCATTGTGCCATGTAGTCTGGTAGAAGTTTACCGATATTCCAGAGGTCCTTGTTGCCTCCATCATCAGATTACATATTGATGACAAGACTCTGAACCCCCATAACATAAAACATGACAAATAATCCCCGTTATGAAGAGTACACATTCCAATAGCATATGGCCAGTGAAGCAGTGTTACCTTTTCAAGAGAACAAAAAAGGCCAATCATGCCTCCATAATAACACAAGAGAAGGCGATGTGCAACCTACCCATATGAATGACGAGGGTCAATAACACAATTTAGCATTCCCATAAAGAACGATACAGACCAGGTATTCAGCACGTGTTAATTAATTGACATGTAAAATGGGAAGTTTCTTACCAAGAAACGTCCTTTTGATGAACTCCCTGCAGTGAAAGCAGATTGTACACTTGTGTTGCTAATATTACTTGATGACAGAGGTGTTTGTCGATATTTATCATAGATGTATAATCCATGTGGAGTAAACTTTGATGCAGAAAATGTACTCATAGAATTCTATAAGGGGGAAAGTTATCTAAATTAATATAAAGCACACAAGAGAAATAAATATTACACAGTAAAATATACTTATAACAGAATGCCACTGAACCTAAACATTTACTTCCATTTGATCTAAGTACTTCAAAATAAACAAAACTGTATGTAGTTAGGTTACAAATCACAAGTTAGAAACTACTAATTACACATATGTACTGGACCATTACTGAACAGTACACATTCAGGGTCCTTCCCTTTTTATCACTCATCCTATCTCCTTTCCTTCCCACTTCCTTTCATTCTGTCTTCCTTCTTTTCCCAACAGTCCATTCAAGTATTTTGTTCATAGCCAGGCTTAATTCCTTAACATCTGTGACACAAATGCTTCACCTCAATTTCCAGAAACCACAGTATGGTATAAAAGTATATGAGCAGAAACCTTATAAATATTCAAGCAGGCTATTCCCCTTTAAATTCCTGTTTTTGGCTGTTTCCATATTAAACAGTTTCCATCTATCAGAGATTTTTTTTAATCCAGGTTCCACTCTAAAATTGATTTTACTGTACATAACAATAAAAGATCATATAGTTTCTGGTGCTTTCAGTAAACATTCTTAATGCCCCTGTGTTTGCCTGGAAATAACAATAAAGTAATTCATTTCTCCAATTGAAGTGCTCATAGGGTGCAATTTCATTCATTAAGATGTAGTGGCAGAGGGGACCAATAGCATATTGTGAACTATGAGCTACAGCGCCTGTTTGGTATGCCAGTGGAAGTAAACATTAACATGAAACTCATGTTCAGCCCTCTCATAACATAGAATTGAAATAGGACTTCAGTTTCTGCTATCAAAAACTCAGACATTGAATATGGTCCAAAAACATAGATGACTCAGGGAAATGGAAGAAGTCAACGCTTTTGTTATATGTTCCCTTTTAAAACTAGATTCAGTCTATACACAGGTAAATAAGCACCATATCCACTTGGGCCTCAAACACAGAATTCTCTAAATAAGAGTATTGTATTTCTGCAAAACCACAAATCTCCAATAACCTAACAATCCACACTACATTATCTTAACTTGGAACTTCATGAATGCAATGCAGGAATGTTATCACTAGAATGCTACGGGACATTTAAGCTAAAATATGGGGCAACATTCGCTATGAAACAATGCACTTACCTCTTTGCTTAATTCATGTTCTTCAATTTTCTCCTTCTCTCGCAATTCTCTTGCAAGGGATATCCTCTTTGCCTTAGCCACTGATTTTCGGGAGGCCTTCCACTTGTTTTCATCAGAACTTACCTAAGGAAACAAATAAATAAGCTTCACTGCTCTAACACTGTCAATGTAAGCAGCATTTCAAAATTAGAAAATGTGCACTAGATGTCACACGTACACAAATGTCAACATGTCTGTACTCTAGGTATCAGTTTAGTTACCTACATATAAGAGGAAAAAACTGATGGCAATCTTTGCTAGGAACAAAGCATGTTATAAAACCTTTCAGTGTCTGTCATTCCCCTACTACAAAATATGGCACAGAAAAGTGATCATTGATTACAATATTATGCTAATTTTGGACTGTGTGAATAAATGTTTTAGGAGTAGAAGTTAGTGACAGTAATAACAAAACTGGTGACAATTAATAACGTGATTGCAAAAGTAGCACATCAGATAGTGAATAAAGTGACAGGCAAGTGGCTCCAGCTATCTGTGGGATGCATGAAAATTTGGTTCCTGGATGTCAACCAGTGGCATAAAGTTCATACGGTATTTCACTGAAATACTTTATGTGCACTTGTGCAAAGAATGCATAACAAGTTACACAATCCTGTATATGAGCATTCCACTTTATGTTGTAATAATATGATGCCATAAAAATTGTTCCTATGCTAATATCACTACAAACACATTTTTAACATATTTGATAAAACAATAAATCTGAAGTCATGAACTTGTTTTATTGATTTTCACTGTAATAAAATTTCACTGCAAAATAATTTGTGAGCCCACAAAAATTTGTTATACTCAGATCTTACTGTATTTAAATGATAAGAGACTAGCCAACACTTGAAACCCTCGGTCAATGACGCCAATTCTTTGAGTCCTCAATGCCCCAAGATATATAGCAGTTCAGTTGAACACTATCAATAATGAGAATATCCATGTACAAGCACAGCCCAAAGATGTTTCACTCCACAATGCAGTACTATTGCAAATTAAGTACAATTCCATCCCTTAAAGAAAAAAACACACTAACAGACACACCAACTTACAGTATTGGTTACTCCAGCAGATGTATGGACAACACCTTGATTTGTACCAGCAGACTCTGCAGCAGCTGCCCTAGCCATGGCTCTAGTTTTTGTTCGGGTCAATCTCATTGTCTGCTCTGGTTTCTTCTGCACTATTTGTTCTGCAGGCTCTTCACTCACTGTATGCAATTTTTCAAAAGCAGCCACCCGCTGTCTAACAGGTTCATTGGCAAATGGACTAAAAAAAAAACTTCCTCACTAAACCTTGACTGTGTGTATTGATTAAAAAGTACAGCTCAATTTTCATTTACATACAATTTCTTTCAAATACACTGTCAGTTAAACAGCAAGACCAACAGAACTAGGGCACAAATTACCTATACCAGTATTTCCTGGTGTGGTACCCAATAGGATTTCAAGGGGTGTATGGCAATCAGAAATTACCAAAAATTGTTCCAGAGTTCTATCTACTGTCAGATGAGCTCTAATACAAAGCAAACTAAATAAATTTGTTAGCATTAACAATACAGCTCCTAAGTTTCTGCACATTTTTAGCCTACCTCATAGCTTTTTTACTTTGTACCTAATCATAATGTGGTTGATTGCAGTTAAATGATTCTGGCATAATTAGGAGAGAGAGTATGCCAAAAAGGCCTAGATACCAAATGTTTATAGTTTGGGAAACACTGTTCTATACTATCTTCCCCTTCTTCATTTCCTATCACCCCTTCCAGAGCATAAGGCCTCCTTTCCGAGGTTTCCTTGGTCTTTGATGGGTGTGTTTGTGAGTGACCAGCCCACTGACTCGCACACAATTTCTACTCAATCCTGATTTGACTAACCCAGCCATCTAGCAGTGAATCAGGAGAAACTTGGGAGAGAAATGGCTGCTGAATTTTGCTTACAAAATACCTTGTATCATGCTCGTAAGGTTCTTTTACATGCCATAAATCTACAACATGGGACCGCCGCCTTTACTTCCCCTCTGAAGGAAGTTGTTCTACGAATTTTCATCACCCTTAAAAATCCTTCCTATCAGGTTTGAACCCGCGAACCTTGGCAAACACGCTAACCATTAGTCCACCGAGGGCCACGTTCTATACTACAAAATCCTTTTAGTCACTGGTCTACATTCACCTTTTGATACCTCATGATGCAAAGGAATGATTTGGGAGGCAATAAATTCTTCAACATAGAGAAATAAATTTTTTTTTTACAAAATGATTCCCAAAATAATAGATATAAGCAATAAACATCCTCCAAAATTTTGTCAACTGCCTACAAGGCTACACAGCATCACAACCCAGAAGGCCCAATCCACTTATATGATGTCTAATACAGTTCCAGGTTTCTCCTTCAGAACCCGATGAATAAGGAATAGCAGGTTAAATAGAATACAGTCCTGAAACCAAAGTAAGACAACTAAATTCTGTAGAAGCAAGGAAGTTATATTATGAAGAGTAAGGAGGGGGTAGAGGAAGAAAAAAGAATTTGCAGAAATACTATGTTGGACAATGTCCACTGTCTGAGGACAATAAATGTCTGTACAATGGCAGCCAATCATCTGAAGACTAGAGTAGAGCCAACTCCTGAAAAGCTGTATATCAAATATACCTCAAAGAATAAACAATGTCCAATATAGTATTTATAAAATGAATCATCCATTGTCACAAACCATTAGAGAAAAGAAATCTCAAAGGTCTATCAGATACAGGAAAATCACATTGCATACCTGAACATCTGCGAAGACTTTTTTGGTTTTGCCATCTTTTTATTTGGAGAACTCTGAAGTGCAAGTCTTGAATGTAATGTAACCTGGTGCTCTGAAACTGACTCATTTGCCTTATCAGGCTGATCAACATTCAAAACCTTGGCACAAACATCATCACTCTGTTGATTCTCTGGAGCCTTTGTAAATGTTGAATTAAGTCCAGATACACCAATTTCATCAACAGAAGTTCTTTTCCCAGACAGTTTCCCTTCCATGGCACTCTGATGCATTGCGCCATAACTCCTAACAGCACAACTTTCTGTGTCACTGTTAGAGGGCTCAGGATGTTTGTCTCCACAAAGAGGATTAATTGTTGTTACAATATTGTTATTTTCAATTTTATCACTAAAATTATTGGGAAGAGAATGAATGGACAGTTTGCTTCTTTGTGGTTCATCAAGAATAAGTGAATCAACCCTATGTACATATGAACTATGAACAGATTTGCTAGGATGATCATCCTCAGTAAATTTTACTGTCACATCAACAGGGATGCTGGGAAGCGCCTTAGGAGTTGTTTCTGTACTGACAGTTGAGGATGGTACAGCATGACTGGGATAAGATGTAAATGATTTCTGTTTCTCTTCCTGTCTTTTGGGAGACTCATCACAAACAGATGAGGTAACATGATCAGGACTGTCCAATAATTTTATCTCTTCTTTATTTCTGTTATCATAAGTTCTGTTGGTGTCAGAACTGATTCTAAGCAACACAACTACGGGGGAAACTGATTTCACATTTCTAACATCCTGTGTAAGACAGCTGACTTCAGGTGTTTTCAGGACAGTACTACTATTCTCAAGTTGCTCATCTAAAGGCTGAGCAGATTTCTCCCGCTCTAACCGCCTATATTTTTGTGGCTGCAGATCTTCCTCTAATATTACACCTGAAGAAATACGTTTCCTCCCTTGTCGTACTGAACTAGACCAATCAGTAGGAGACTGGCGCATTTTTCCATTAAGAGTAATATTTATCTGCTGCTTTATTTTCTTACTCGCAACCTGTAACAATATAAAACAGGAAAACAATTATATACAAATCCAACTTTAATAAAATAAAATATTTTGGCCACAGAAAGAATTAATAATAATTTACCTTTGTGGCACCTCTGAACTTAAACATGTCAGTACAATTACTGGTATGTCTGATGTACAAGTGTAAACTTAAAGCATTTTTTACACATATCCCATAAAATGAACACACAAAAGACAGAACGTGTCTATCCACGAGATTGCTCAATGTCTGGAAGTAATTACTGAATATCAAAGCAATTTTATATTAGGGGTCAACAATAAAGTCTGGAAAATTTAATTTAAACCTGTACTGGTCCAAAACCCTATTTTATGTCATGTTCATATAAAATGCTTCCTTCTCAAAGTAGCTCATGACACAACAAACAGATAGGTAACCTAAAGCACACTTGTATTTTAAACATTTTTAGTGTAACATATAGGGTTTATACAAAAACCGGCTTTTGAAAAAACTGGTTAAACCGGTTTTCGAATTTTTACAAAAAAAGAACAAAATATAATTAAAACAGTAAAAAAACATTTATACTAATTTTTAAAATTTTCAGTTTATTTAATATTTATGGAACTACAAAAATATAACAAAATAAAATATACTCCATACAAAACCAAATAAAAACTAAAATAACTAAAATCCGTACAAAATATAAATTACTTCATTTAGTATTTTTCTACAGGAAATATTATTTCAAAAAACATAAAATGTCCACTGAACGATTACTTAATCTTGTTATTATTCTAGATACAAAATTGCCTCAAATAGAAAATACTCTCTCACTGGCTACTGAACTTGGTTTTATCATTTTCAGGGCATCAAATAATAAATCCAAATTCTTTGTTCTTTTATTGGTTGCCTCAAATACTGAAAATTCGGCCTTCAGTGTCTTCGGATTTGATATTATTTCTTCAGGTTCCTCAAGAAACCTATGAATTGATTTTTCCATGGCTTCTTTTAGAGCATTGCCCTGATTAATAGTTTCTCCGTCTCCAATATATTCATCATCGGAATCTGTTTCCAAACATGAATTCGGATACATTCTAGACAATATTTTTCCAGATAACTTAACAAAATCGAGTTTTGAAGCTAGTGGAAATACACTAGATATCTTTGTTGAAATGTTTTGTGGATTTTGCAAATATAGCAAAAGCGTTACCAATCCAACTTGTCTTCTTTCTTGAATTCGTACTCCTAAAGCATTTAATAATTTGGAACTAATTTCAGTCTTTAAATTTTTTAGTTCATGTAACAGAAATTTTTACATATTAATTCTAGTATACAAAACCGGGTTTTTAAATTTTAAAAACCGGTTTTCGAATTTTACAAATTTATCCAAAAAACCCGACAAACCCTAGTAACATACATGTAACAAAATGAGCACAAATCATTCCTAATATGCAGCATGACATCTGCATGTTATTAGCTTTGCAATAACAATTCTTATCTGTATTAGATTAGTTTTGTGTGTGGAATAAACATACTTGAGAGAACTTGTCCCTCTAGGATGAATTTATTCCCTGGCAGAGAAACTTATGAGAAATCACAAAAATAGACAAGTCAGTTAAAAAACAGGATTTTCACATAATTAGCTTACCTTAGATGCATTTCTTTTGCTCCTTTTACTCAGAACAGGGCTGACCCTTTCTGAATTTTGTCTAGTACTGCGAGTGCTTCTGGTTTGATACGAGTTGCTGGGGCTGATAGTCATTTCTGACAAAGTTATATCTTCAATTTCTCCTTGAAAAAAAATATATACAGATGCCCATACAATCTACTGGACACACCACTGAATAATTAGAAGTAACTACGTAGCTCCACAAAACAGGAGTAATATCAAGATTGAATTGGAGATTATACATAGTGAATATCATGTATTTTCTACATCAGTTTACTTGAAGCCTAGACTCCATATCAGTGATTTTGGACTGCCTCATTGCTGCCTGGCTTATGCAATCAGATTAAAAAGGACATATTCACCAATCAAGTAACATTTTATGGGGTAATGTTGGCTCTAGTGTTACATGAACCACACTGCTCACACTGTGCGTAAAATTCTTAAACATTATCTTGGACTACAGTACAAAGCACAATGTGTCACTAATTTTCCTCCCTTGTAGCACAACTTTTCTAAGACATCAAGATAAATGACACAGATAATGTACATATAAAAAAATTTAAAACCTACATATTTTTATAGAATTTCTTTTAATTTCATGGTAACAAGAAACATCTCTGCAATTAGATATAATGTGTATCTCATATTAGGGCTTAACCAGCTATCGATCAAAAATGTTCCACATATCTTGCTAAATTTACAACTACTACTTCAACATCTCTATCAGCAGATACTGCAGATATAATGTTATATAAAAAGGGAATAATTATATTTCCTGTATTGACAATGCATACCAAATGCAAAGGCAATTTTAATATCAGTTAACAAATGGTTTTGCACCATAACTTGTGATAAACAAAGTGGAATAAGGTTACTTTGAAAGGATAAAATAAAGACTTTTGATATGAAACAGGAAAAAACTTTTGTGCTGACAGTGATGAACTAATACCCAGTTCCATAACACAAGAAGTTACAAACACTGAGAATGAGTTGTAGTTCAGTCAGTATGACTTTCTTTGCATGAGGCACATATGCCAGCAAGTTCAGAAACCCTACCACCTTTGCTCAGTATTCACATGCATGAAACAAATTTTCGCCAATCAATTTCCCTGCATTTTATTTTGTTTGTCCTCACTGCATTTTGCAACCAAGAGTCTACTGCATTCTGAATTGGATGAGTCAACCTGGAAACCTCACAAATACAAAAGAAGGCCTCTAACTACATCACAACTTTCTAAACTATCCCAGCCCTGAATACTAGATCTGTGAACTTTTCCTATTATTATCCATAACAAATTCAAAAGTATACAAGTAATTTCCCATGCCACTTCATGCTATCTGAAACTTCTGACACACCATCTTCAGGAATAGTTGCCACAGGACATCTCTTCCTCTGCTTTCTTTTAACAGTTGGAGTCTTCGGTAGTAGAACATTTGATTTTGATGTTTGCTTTTCAAGCTCTGATGAAATATCTGAAAGCCATTGTAAATTTTCCTGAAATATAAATACAACCAAAGATCAGGGACAAAGTATGATCCACGACTGAAATGCAAAAAAGTGGAAGAGCTGTACAATATTAGTACAAACACAACAAAGCAGTGCCTATTGGTAAGTAACAAGAATCATTTGTTTCTTGGTTTATTTAATGTGGTGTGAATTGTAGCTAAAATAGCAGTGAAATAGAAATGTAAGTATTTTTATGAACAGGCATAGACAAATTTGACTACAGATCTAGTCAGAATACAAAAAATACAGAGCCAGGATTGATATCAAAGAAGGAGTGGACTATATTGTTTTAACAATGATTATGAGAGCAGTATATGTTCTTTCTTCACAAGTAAGATGTCTAAATAAACAAGCTTGGCCACAATATAATGGTAGCAGAAGGGAGTAAGTTTCTGAACAATGCACTGCATAAATATACCAACCATTACTTCATTCATCATAAGCCTAGTTTTTTAATCTGCAGTCAAGTCATACTTGTGCTTTAATGAAATGTCTTAAGTGTGTTTCAGTTTTGTTTTTTCAGTTTACTGTTCTGTATAAAGTAAACACAGATAAAATGTATTGTAAATACAAATGTTTCATTATAAAATGCAGTACAAAATTATGAATGTTATAGAGACAGCTACATAATCCTAAAAAAAATGGGCAAAGTTTAAATATTAGGAAATTTGGACTTGACACTTTCTGAAGTATCTATGCTGCAACTTTCACACATATTTTTTGATAAAATCTGTTGATAGTCATTTGACATCACTTGCATGACTGGACACAAGCTTACCTTAAAATTTAAGTTTATCAACTAGAAATAAACATATAGAGCACCTTTTGACTCACCTCTTACTTTGATCAAAAACTTATATTACTATGAAATGACTATGACAGTAATCATGTGTTTGACTGTAAATGCATGTGATTAGGCCTATCATATATTTTCTTTTTGGGAAATGTTTCTACAACTGTACTTTGTTTCTATGCAATTTCTGAATCTGATATATTGTATTCTAACTTGTGCCACATTCTCCTGACTATAATCAATGGAATGCAATTATGTCAATTCATCCACCTAAAACAATACTTCATATATAATTAAACCAGTAACTTACCTCAGACCTAAGTTGTATTTCACTCAACTCCGACTGGCATATCAGACTGAGATTTCCCAGTATTCTTTTAAATGTATCACTATTCATTTTAACTATTCCTTGAGACTGTAATAACAACCAAAACCACGAAATTAAAAATGCAATACAAAAAAGGGTCTGGAATAAACAACGAAACGTTTTTAAATATATTGCCACAACAGTAAAAAATGTTATATAATAATCCTTCGTTACATACTTTAACATACACAAGATTACGATTAATATTTCAAGGCGCCATGCTCAACAAAGCATGGAAGAATTTTAGGCAGTACATTGAAAATTCTAACAAAGGGCAATATAAATACGTTATTAATTTCACATCACAGGCTATGAATGCAAATTAAAATAACAAAACAAACTTCGTCTATTAAGAAACCACTGGCACATAAATAAACAAATCACATTCAAAAATACGTGCATACAAACATACCACCAACGGTAAATTCATTTCTTCATTTCAAATCCGTTGTGTAAACCTGTGCGCAAAATGTACTGCGCATAGGACTAGGACGGTTTCCATTGAGTGAACAATCAAGTAGGAAAGAATGGAGAATAGACATTCAGGTGGCAGACCATGTTCTAGCGGCGATGAATATTCAGTTTGGGTTCAGGAATGTTGTTGTTATACTGTGTAGAGTGGTAGATAAAACTGACGTTTCAGTGGAGCTTACTACCTCCATCAATAAAATCCTGCCTGCTACACTACACAGCGTAACATTACAAAAAACAACTTCAACAGATGTTAACTTGCCGTTCTATTGGTTCCATGTACTCGGCTTTAATTTGCGAGAACTTTACACAATAAGCAAATCTACTCTAAGAAAATTTAAAAAAAAACTAGGATAAATAATCATACACAAATAATGACGTAAATGAATTCCGACTCTTCCAAGAATACAAACATTACTACATTCCGTTTCTTAGGATTCAGTGGTTTCACTTCATCTATACGTGACAGCCAACTTACTTTGGGTCAGTAATTGCAGGACATAAGCAGATCTCGACTTTTCTTGTCGACAAATATGCGAATAACTCGAAGAGCGGAAACATTTTATTCAGCCAAATTTTAACTACAACTCCAAGTACGATATTGTTTTCACGGAGGTGATGGCTGACCTTTCAGTTGCACCGTGTAGTCTGTACAAGGCGTGGCTTCACAACACAGCCTTCCTTGTATAATTTTCTACTTTGCCTGAGGCAGTATGTTGAATTGTAATTTCAAATTACTTGCACTAACCCCTATTAAGCTGTCCCCTATCACACCAGCATACATAACATGATATTACAATGTATCTTAACACAATTTTGCATTATTCCAGTCCTGCATATCACTTTCGGTGCTTCAAAGTAATGTACTGAAAGTGGTAATACAGTATTATACAATATGTTGCATGTGCTAACCATACCCCTACTGCCACCCCACATCCATGACACATTGTGACCAAAAAATCCAACAGACAAAAATTTTCAGATTCAATAACAAATTTCCCACACTGGAGGGGAGAAATGTCAATTCACACATTACTCTGATTACCACACTTCAAACACCACTTTAATCATAACAGCATTTAATTAGTATACTTTGCAACAGAATTCTTATGAAAATTTGATGTGCTTGCTAACACGAGAAAAAATCAGTTTTGGGAATCTATAGCAAATCACAAACTTCTCCTAAATACACAAAGTACCTTTCCATAACTGAATTTTCAAACATACAACAATCGCATTTCATAATCAACTTCACAAATACACAATTTGGGATAACTTATACTGTTGCATAATGAAATATTTTTGAGGTACTCACTTGGACAAATACATGTGGATTTCATGTGTTCAGCCACTAGAAAGCAGCAGCATAAAATTAACAAATTAAATGGTTTGGACAAACATTCTAGTTCTTGACAAACATGCTTTACCATGTGAAGTGCACATAACATGTTTAAAAATGAGGAACACCCCATGATGAAGAGTGATATGCAAGACATAAATGGGACAACTTGGAAGAAGGTATTCCGAACATACGAAGAGGAAAAGGAGCACATGGAATACATCAAACACCTAAACAAAGGATCAACAAACCTTTAGGTTAACATGAAAGAACTCAATGTGTTACACAATCAGGATACAAAAATGGTGGAAATAAAGATCCATAAATGAAGAAACACATTTATTTGTCTTTTATATTCAATGCAATCTAAGTCACCAAATACAGTAAACAAGGTTGTGGAGGAAGTCCCATCTGTGGGATGCACAATATGGAGAAGGGGTCATTGCCCTTGCTGTCCCATACAGTTCTTTACTCACAGTTCACTTCCCTTCACATAAGTTTCATACCAATCCATTCACTGTTCATTCAGTCTGCCTGGCTGGCAACACTGCTCTCAATGACATCACCAAGAACACTCCATAAGATGTGTTTCTCCAAGGACGTGGCACCAGATGTAAATACCATCTACCTCCTTTTGAAAATTTCCTAACTTCTTTTGTACAGGTTGTTGAAGGAATGTTACAGGTTGGTTGCCCATCCTGTTCACCACAAAGCTATCTGATTTTGACAGCAAATTAATGCTGCATGAAACTGCAAATAATTCTACTTTCAATAAACAAGAAATAAAATGTTGCCTCAATTTGGCATCACTGGAAAAGGCCTCCCGTGACATCAACACAGCTCGACAGGAAAGAATAAAGAGCAGAAAAATAATGGGAGCACATTGTTTTTTAAACAGTTGAACGGCACAAAATCCACTCCTAAATTTACGGACACAATTTCACAATTAAAGATGATCAATAAAACCACATCAAACTGCATGACTGGAAATATGTTACAAAAATTTACACAAAAAACTTGCATCCCTTGAATTCACTTATCATACAACCACTTAAATACATCAAACTGAATCAAGCTTCTCTCCAATTTAGCTACTTTCATCTCCAATTCAAGTAGTGTCAGAATGGGAAGCAGAAATGCAGGTTCATTTTTGGTTGGTATTAACATTTTCTTCGCGCCAGATATAAGACATCATACGCTTCACTTTGATGTCATCATGGTAACAAATTCTGGAAAAATGAAAAAGAAAAGCATATGGTCAGCCACAGTACACACTACACAATCACAAATACTGCCCTGTTAAGCAATACTACTGAGCTAGATTTATGCATTTGTAACAAAAGAACCACAAAACACTACAATGGAATATAACATTGCATTCTAACATGTAGTATACTTCAGGTTCTATTGTTACCAATACAAACACGCCTACATATAATTTTTTTAAGAAAAAAAAAGCTTATGAGATCAGACATATGCAGCACTGCTCTGATGGTAGTCATCACCGCACACTTGTTCTAGCTAACACTGAAACAGACATCCCTAGCACATCTCATACATGGCATAAAACCACTTCATTTCCAACAGCAATATTCCCATTCCACTAAGTTTGGAAGCAACAATTTATGACTATGCCAATTTACATTTTAAAGACATTTTGACAAATGATAAATGCATGCCATCTCTCCCAGCAGCTACAATAAATTTACAGACTAGAAAATAAATGCCAGCACTTAAAACTAGAGCTTCATTGCAAAACCCACTCCTTCCTTTCACCACTATAACTCTCTGGTACAGCAGCACAATTACAAAATGATTCCAGCCAGATACAATTATCAAGATGCACCGAACACATGCTTTTTATTTGTATACCTATACGACAAAACTCGGAAAATATGCATACAAGTATTACAATGCAGTAGGTGCTCATTAGTTTGTTTTTAAAAATATGGACAAGGAAAGTGGAATTCGTATTACCTCCCTGGGCCTGCAATACATAAAACCAAATCAATACTGACTTCACCATCTTCTGCGAAACACTTTCTGATTCTCAAATATTTAACTGTTTCTGACACTCCTAACTTTTAAACATTTTTATATTTGTGTTCATTAGTTACAACTTCTCTAAATGCTATAGCAGGTATTCTGTGTTCATATCAGATACTAACTGCTTGTTTGACACATTAAAAATCAGCAATATATTCAATGGCCTCTGAGCTACACTTCAACTTCCCAGACACGGGAACAGAGTTTTCTTTACAAATATAAAGCAAATACAAGAAAACACAGAACTGGCAGATCTGGTGAGACACATCACTAGGAGTGCTTCTGGTAGACAGATGCTACTGAAAGTAACACACATGACACATTAGACACGTGGCAACATGACATATAAAATAGTGTGAAACTGTTGAAGACACATACAAATAACAGACTTGAAAGTCCATAGATATTAAGAGCCCACTGTATAAATTAAGCAGACCACTAACAGAAACTCTTTCCAGTTACCTTATTCTTTAACCATAGAAACTTTAATAAAACTGCAAAGCCAGTTTAATCCAGTTTGCATCTCATAACCCACATCTCAAATACATTTTTCCAACACAGACCTGCTTTTACAGACAAACGCAAATAGTTACTTGTCATACATCAAAAATTAAAATACACATGCTTAAGCAATGAAGATGCCAACATGAACTAGAGCACTTCTCCCCAACTCTTTAATACGCACATTGCACTCTCTTGCACTAGGTTCTTTCTCAGCCTCACTCTTACAGTCATACTGCTATCCACTGGCATCCAAATGTCATCATCATCAAAACAGCCACCTTCAATTCAGCATTCATAATAAGATAACTTAATATGTTCAAACATACTTGTGTACCTCCTACTTTGTATATGGAGAGGGGTTTCTGGTTCAGACCAACTGTATGTCTTCCTCAATTCTGGCACGCAATTGATGATCGAGCCACAACCATTTCCACTTCAACACAAACTCCCTAGCATCATTCCATTACTTTTCAGTGCTATATAAATCTTTGCAGTTGACACAATCATAAATAAACCAACAAAGCAATATAACCACTTCTTCACCCTAATAATTTCACAAAATAGCCAACAATTCCACGATTGCTGCCTCCAAGTTAGATGGAATAAGAAAACATGCATGCAACAGCAAAAACTCCACACTCCTAAGTGCCTCCAGCAGATGCATGCTCCATTAAGAAAATTAGCTGCTTGGTGATCAAGTATTTTCACTCACACACATTAAATTGCCAATCAATATCTGCAAAGCAAAGAAATCCAAAAGGACATCTGCTAAATATACATCTAACAAAATACAACCTTGCCACACAGAATATCAGCTTATTAATCTGTGCAAATAAATTTTACATGTCTTCTGCTACAAAATATTCAACCACTTTCAAAATACAGCTCATGTACAAGCAATATTTAACCTCCAAACCAACAAGGAATTTCACCAACAGTATAAAACGCACAATACAAAATTGAAACCACCTAATCAATTCAATGAATCTTCACTTCCAAGATTTGTATCAGAATATGCAACAATCAGGTTAATATACAGTCACAACATTTAACTTGCAGGCAGATAAGTAATTTACTTAAAATAATTAAGAAATCTAATACAAATTTATAATTAGCAGTTCAATAATTCCAAGAACACACTGCAATTGCTCTGTATATGCAGCTTCTATGCATATATAAAAAAAATCAAATAATTGGGGGGGGTTGGGGAGAATAAAAACTATGCCAATGGCAAAGACAACAATGAATGTTAGAAACATATACAAACAAAACTTCCATGTCCTAAAGACTTGCTAGTAATAAGGAGGTCAAAATAATCAATTACAAAGCAAAAACAAAAGATAAAAAAGTTCCAGGTTGCACGAAGGCCTAAAAATAAACTTATTTACAGCACACTATTGTATTTCTAACATAACTAGGCAAGAGCCAAAGCAAATTAGAACCTTGAATAGATAACTATATTTTTCTGCTGCAGTTGTTGATACCAGAAATGTTTACTACAGAAAACAGAAGTGTGCTGAGGATAATCTATCACTTTATCAAACATTACTCTATCCAGTCTCTGTAACTACCCTTCCCAAAGTGTTACTGTCTACGCCAAGTCACATCTCAATATACTGTATAAAGAAATTGTTAAACATATGACAAGTACAATTTTGTAAACTGAAAACTGCTTGTAATTTGTCATTGATTTTTTAAATTATATCTCCTAACTCTAAAATGAAAAAAATAATTACATCACCTGGGGAATGATGAAGGAGTTACAACTGACTTAAACACAGAAACTGAAGCACAATAAACAGAAAGAACACAGCGAAAGCTCTTCTACAACAAGCTAAAATATATATTTTATGGGATAGAGAGATAATGAATTGAGGCCAAATGAATTTATTTCCCACTTTGGGCCTGGAACAATTATAAAATGAATCCTCTCACTCATGGAAACACTGCCTGCTGCTGCCCTCTTAATTTTGGACTTGTAGAATTAATTTGGTTCTAGAAAGTAATGCAGGAAAGTTGTGGACAATACTATGTAGGACAAATTCTTCAGTGCAAATTTAATGTGTGTACACATGTATTCACTATAAAGTGACATACATATCATTTTCTTTCAGCCTTTAAATAGTGGGTTTTCAGCTTAAACACAAGCACTCCCTTTATACCAAACCACTACTTTCAAAATTACCAAATAACCTGAAAACAACAGCTTCATATAATAAAATAAATAAAACAAAAAACAAGTATATTCAT